CTCCCCTGCACAAGACTTGCAGGTATGTGGCTCTTCAACAGGGTACGTGGAAAGCATGAGCAACACAGGACAACCCTGTGCTGCATGCAAATGCCTTAGGCTGCATCAACGCCAGCCTCCCTGCTCCCCACCAGCCCCCACCAGCCCCCACCAGCCCCCACCAGCCCTTACCAGCCCCCACCAGCTCTCACCAGCCCTCTCCAGCCCTCTCCAGCCCTCACCAGCCCCCACCCGCCCTCACCAGCCCTCACCAGCCCCCACCAGCCCTCACCAACCATCACCAGCCCCCACCAGCCCTCACCAGCCCTCACCAACCATCACCAGCCCTCACCAGCCCCCACCAGCCCTCACCAGCCCCCACCAGCCCTCACCAGCCCTCACCAACCATCACCAGCCCCCACCAGCCCTCACCAGCCCTCACCAGCCCTCACCAGCCCTCACCAACCCTCACCAGCCCTCACCAGCCCCCACCAGCCCCCACCAGCCCCCACCAGCCCTCACCAGCCATCACCAACCATCAGCCCTCACCAGCCCTCACCAGCCCCCACCAGCCCCCACCAGCCCCCACCAACCATCACCAGCCCTCACCAGCCCCCACCAGCCCTCACCAGCCCTCACCTGCCCTCACCAACCATCACCAGCCCTCACCAGCCCTCACCAGCCCTCACCAGCCCTCACCTGCCCTCACCAACCATCACCAACCATCACCAGCCCTCACCAGCCCATGTGTCAACCAACCTCTCCCTTCTCAAATTACACCCCACCCCCCGGCCGAGAGAACAACTGCTCTGGACAGTGTAAATGAATGGAACCCCTGAATCACACTGAAGGGGGGGATACGTGAAGTGGCCTAAGTCTTCCCAGAACTCCTCCAAAATGCATTTTGATGGATTTGCATCAAAAAAGTTGGCATGGGCCTGATATGATGGCTCAGTGGGTGAACCCTCACCTTACACGTGCCGGGATCCCATATGGGCACTGGTCCATGTCCCAGCTGCCCCACTTCCCATCCAGCTCCCTGCTTGTGGCCTGGGAAAGCAGTCAAAGATGGCCCAAAGCCTTGGGATCCTGCACCCACATGAGGGACCCGGAAGAAGCTCCTGGCTTCAGATCGGCTCAGCTTCAGCCATTACAGCCACTTGGGGAGTGAACCAGCAGATGGAAGATCCTTCTTTCTGTATTTCCTTCTCTCTGTAAATCTGCCTTTCCAATAAAATAAATAAATCTTAAAAAAAAAAAAAAAAAAGATGGGAAAGAAAAAGCTAGTGAGACCCAAGATTTAATTATACAAATTAAGGTCAGGATCATTAGTCGTCCAAGTATCCTCTGCATTCAGCCAGGCCAAAGCCAGGAGCCTGAACTCCAGCTACGTTTCCCGAGGGTGATCCTGCTTTCTCAGGCACATCAGCAGGAAGCTAGATCAGAAGCAGAGCAGGGACCAGGCAGGATAGCTCAATTAGTTGATCCTCCACCTTGCAAGCACTGGGATCCCATGTGGGTGTCAGTATGTGTCCTGGCAGCTCCATTTCTGATCCAGCTCTCTGCTTACGGCCTGGAAAAGTAGAGGAGGATGGCACAAAGCCTTGGCACATGCTTGGGACAGACAGAAGAGGCTCTTGGCTTTGGATCGGCTCAGCTCTGGACACTGCAGCCACTTGGGGAGTGAACCAGCAGATGGAAGATCTTTCTGTCTCTCTTTCTCTCTGTAAATCTACCTTTCCAATAACATAAATAAGCTCTTTAAGAGAAAAAAGAAGTAGAGCAACCAGGATATGAACCAGTGCTAAGATACGGGCAGTTTAACCTACGGCACAATGCCAGCCCCTATGAAAGAACTTTTAATAAGCACTTGGAGTTACATAGGTTTAAAAGAACCACAGTATCTACACCATGGTGGAATTATGTACCTTCACCTCTAAACACGTTCTTAACCATTCAGAGGATGGACTGTAGAATAAATGTAGCTTTCATTTTCATCACACTGTCAGTCCGCACAGTTGTTTCCAAGGCCAACCCAGTGAAGAGAAGGAAAGATAGCTTAGTACTCTCGCTCTCCCAAATCGATGTTTCAGTTCCGATGGAATGATGCAGACTTCATCTTCCAGAGACAGCAGCAGCACAATCACCCACCCCACAGACTCTTCCTATGATGTAATCTAAACAGCTCTCTCATCAGGCGATGGGGCCTAGGCACCCTGAACCTGGGTACACTGGGCGTATGGCAGAATCTCGCCCTCCTGTGAATTCCAAGGCTGATCTAAAAACCACCACGCACTTCTGCTCTCCTGGAAGGCCCTCAGAGCCCAGGTCAGGCCGAGAAGCAGCCCCCCCAAGCTGACCTGCAGAAACTACAGTGCTCAGCCACGCAGCTGTTCCACCGAGCAGTCCAGCCGACGCCCCAGCTGACGGCCAGCATCGCCCTGCAGATCCCGGAAGTTTCCTGTCCCCAGCCGTTGTAACCAAGCCCAGCCTCCCGTCTTCCCAGCCAAGCCCCGGATGCTGCTCAGCAGGGTGGCTGTGTCCACGGTGCTCCAGCCAAATCCCTGTGCCACACAACTGGAGAGCGGCTGCTGAGACTAACTCTGGGGGTGAATGTTTATGCAGCAGCACCATCTGATACTATATTACAGCACTGAAAAAAGGTGAAATACTCGTAGGTTAGTAAATCATTACATCTCAAACACTCTAACAATACACTAACAGTTACAGGTGATGTAAAAATGCATTGTATGGATTAAGAATCCAGTGAAGCTATAACCAAATGAAAAGAGTAGCGGCAGCTTGTATGGCCAGCACTGTGGGGGAGTGGGCTAAGCTGCTGCCTGCAACACCGGCATCTCATATGGGTGTCTAATTCAAGTGCTGGCTACTCCACTTCCATCTAAGTCCCCACTCCCCACTGAGCCTGGGAAACGCAGTGTAAGATGGCCCAGGTACATGACCTCTTGTCATTCGGGTAAAGACCCAATGAAGGCCCTGACTGCAGCCTATCCCAGCCCGGACCACTACAGCCTTTTGGGGAAAGAACCAGCAGATGGAAGCTCTAACTCTTTCAGATACATAAATCTTTACAAAAATGTCTGGCTCTCTCTCACATAAAAAAATTATGGGCACTTTAGGGCTGCTCTGCCCACCACCAGGCATTCAGGTCACCTCCTCCTGTTTCTGTGCCACCCATTAAACAAATCCTCCACATTACACTCGGCACAGCTGCTCACACACTCCAGCTCCCGTCCGCACGCCGGCCAGGTAGGATGTGACAAGGGCAGGACGGGGCCGCCCCTTCCTTTTAAGGTTACCTCCTGGAAGTGACTGCATCAGGCAGGACTTAACCATGGGGAAAAGGAACCCCAAGAAACAAGTGGTCGATCCGATCACATGCATGTATTACACTTGGGTAAGCACCACAGCTTCAGGGACCTCAAGGACTGTAGCAATCTATCCCACTAGACTCGCAACCCTGAAGATTTTGCTCTTATAACGATTTGCTTATTTTTATTGGAAAGGCAGATTTTACAAAGAGATGGACAGATTTCCCATCTGCTGGTTTATTCCGCAAACGCTTGCAAAAGCCAGAGTTGAGCTGATCCAAAGCCAGGAGCCAGGAGCCTGGAGCTGCTTCTAGGTCTCCCATGGTGGGTGCACAGTCCCAAGGATCGGGTCACCTTCTGCTGCTTTCCAGGCCATAAGCAGGGCAGCTAGACTGGGAGAGGAGCAGCTGGGACCTGAACAGGAGCCCATATGGGATCCTGGCACTTGCAGGTGGAGGATCAGCCAGTTGAGCCATTGTGCCAGCCCCTTGATCTTTTAAATAAATAAAAATGGGTCCTTACTGAGTTGATGTCTCTCACTAGGCGGAACAATAGCTGAATACAGCAAATACTTTAGATTACAGCTCTTCGGAAAAGGAAAGACATTTACAGACAAATATTTCCTATAAAACCAGTAATATTTCCTGTTTTTTTTATCCAACAGATAATCCTGTAATCTTTTTTCTTTTTTTTTCTCAGCACGTCACCAAACAGCCTGAACTCCAGTTCTATTACGGAAGGCAGGGGTGGGGAGCATCCGGCCAAGAACCAGATAAGGCCTGTGAAGCCATGCTTGGTCTGCTCCTGCCAAGGCAATCACAGGGGAGTCCCCAAATCCAACAAACCCCTAACAGACTAACTATTACCCTGGCACACCTGCACAGCCCGCCCACGAAGGAGGTTCTCAGGACTCAAGTGGCCTTGGCAGGACACAGCTTCCCCACCCCTGATCCACCATGACATATTTGTTAGGAGGATAAAACGCATCCTAAAAAGCAGCTTTGCTTTTTTCTGTTTTTTTTGCTAAGTGTTATTATTGATAGGAAGGGCAGAGTTACAGGCAGAGTGGGAGTGAGAGAAAAGAGATTTTCCATCTGCTGGCTCGCTCCCCAAGTGGCCGCGCCAGTCAAGGCTGTTGCAGGCTGGAGTTCGGAGCCTAGAATTCCATCGGGGTCTCCCACCTAAGCTGCCGGGGACCCAAGCCCTGGGGCCATCCTCCAGTGCCTTCCCAGATGTGTCGGTAGAGTGGCAGGAACTGGAATCGATGTTCTGATGTGGGATGCGGCCAGTGTCTTAACCCACAGTGCCACATCACTAGTCCCAACAGTACAGACTTACACAAATACGAAGTTATGCACCTGCAGAGCAACCACTCCAATCAAGACACTCAAATTTAACAAAATCTCTTTAAAAATGTTTAACAATGTAAATACATTCACAACATACTCTGCTCCAGTCAAGTTTACAGTACCTACAGCAAAATTTACAGATAGCCACAATAGTTTGTTGAATAAACATATCACCTTGTGTTAAGAAATGCCATTAATACAAATGCACGATTTACAATATCCCCCACAATAGCAAGAAAAAAATATATATTCCCCAAATGAAATATCTTTCAGGCATTTATCATGTCGAACATTTAAACTGAGTATTCTCATTATGACGTAAGGAAAAATACTCTTTTAGTGTGGTAAAAGACAGATTTTATTAGCTCTAAGCTCACTGAAGAGCTTCCAGGAAATTCCAGAGTGAACCCTGGCTATCCCTTCCAGACAATAAATACAACAGCAGCAACCTGGGAGTACCCCTTAAACATAAACCATGAGGATTCCACTAGTGTTTATCAGGCCTTAATTAAATGACTTACACCAAATAAAAAATAATTAGTTAACTAATAAAATATCACTGGGCCCAATTTGATATTTGCTTACGTACATCTAAGACAAGGAAATTCACCATGAAATGCATACTCAAAACTAACAGTTTTGTCTAGCTTTTACACAAGCCAAAGTGCCCACTCCTATCATGGAATCAAAATTACTTCTGAAAATAATCTATAGAAAGAATATGTAAACACACAGACTTTTGAAACAGCCACCCGTTTGGAAGGGATCCAAATGCACAGATTTCCATGACAAACACCTTCAGCAACCCGGGACACACTGGCATTATGGGACCACGTACACACACACGCATCAGAAAGCAACACTATCGAGCCCCGACTGCTAGAAAGAAAGCAAAGGCTGAAGACAAAAACTACCTTTCTGGTCTTAAAGTTTTAAGTGGAGAAACCAACCCGACACTCCTCTTTGCAACACGGCCTGAGAGCTCAAAGGTTCAGGCGGGATTTAATCTCTTCAGTTGCTCCCCGACGTCACAGGAACATAAGCTCTTCCTGCCACTCTTCTGCTCACGTAGTCTGATCACCTCCAGCATTCTGCAGAACAGAAACACAACAACTCCTCAGTTGTCTCGCTTCCCACCTGCCGCCTTCACGAAAGGCCCAGGAGCACAGGCCCAACGTGTGCGCAGGGCCCAGTGCTGCAGCACCAACGCCCAACGCCCCAGCCGAGCCACAAGGAAGGCGGCCGTGCTCAGGCAGGTCTCTTCCCGTTTGTCGCTGTGTCTTTCAAATAAAGATGTCTTTTTTAAAAGACAGAGAGAGAAGGTTTATTTAGAAGCCCAAGTTCAAGATGACGGTTAGCCATCTGTCCGGTAAGGGTGAGAAGTTGGCAATGGCACAGCCCATGCCAAGGACGGTCACAGGGGCAAGCCAGGAGGCAGGCGGGGTGGCTGGACTCTACCTTGGCCTAATAACCACCCCCTCATCAGCACCACCTGCTGCGGGCACGCTCTCAGGGATGAAGGCCCTCCCACCGGGTGCACCTTCTACATATTAAAACAGGATCCACGCCTCTAGACTGTTAGTGCCATGACTGTGACATCTAAGGTCCTGGATGAGCCAGGGAGCTCCACCATGTCCCAACGGTGGCAGCTCCATCTAAGTGTAACTCTTTGACCAGCAGCATCACCTAGACACTTCTCAGCAAAGAGTGGGACCCCCACACCCAGATCCAGGAAAAAGGACACACGAGAGTTGGAGTCCCACAACCCTGCGCCCAGCAGGTGCTCCTGGGGCACCTTCCAAGTCTGGGACCAACAGTCTTTTATAATACCACCTGCCCAGGTGACTGCACTAAACACACAGGAGGTGTGACTCACACGACCTAGTCATCAAAATGATTTAACTTCTGATACCCCTGCCTTAGACCCTCATCTGGAAGTACTGCAGTACAGTCCCTATGTTCTGGGGAGGCAAGTCCCACCTTCAGTGCCGGTTCCAGGTTGCTGTTAACGTGTACCTGGGGAAGCAGTGGTGAATCCCACCCCGACATGGGAGATCCAGATCAACACCCCAGCTCCTGCTTCATGCAAGCGTTTGTGAAATGAACAGGCAGATGGTAGCTTGCTCCCACGCTCTCCCCCTTCTCTCCCCACCCCTAGCCTGGTCCAGCCCCGGACACGGTGAACAGCTCAGGAGTGAGCCAGAGGATCTGTCTCTCTGCCTCTCAGAGAAACAAATTACACAAATCAATGACTTAAAATTTTTCATGAAAAGCAAACTCGGCTTAGAATTAGAAGAATTAGAAACCGTTGGATGAGTTCCCCATCGCATCCAGAAACACTTACTTGTCTCAAAAACTGCCTTCCAAGATACGAGGTTGCCATGTTGGTTAGATTCTTTCTGCTGCCCACTTTACACCTGATGTAGCCATACAAGTTGGCACCTTGCAGCACCACGCCCATTATAACCACTGCCTGGGACAAGGAGAAAGACAGCCTGTGGTGAATGATCTGAAACTGACCTTTCTCTACAGCAAACAGACAGACCCAGAGAGAAAAGGGGAGCTAGTAGTAGTCAGTAGGTTCGGCTGCTCCTTTTTTTAAAGATTTATTGCAAATTCAGATTTACAGAGAGGAAGATCTTCCATCTGCTAGTTCACTCCCCAAGTGGCCACAATGACCGGAGCTGGGCCAATCCGAAGCCAGGAGGTTCTTCCTGGTCTCCCATGCAGGTGCAGGGTCCCAAGGCTCTGGGTTGTGCTCCACTGCTCTCCCAGGTCACAAACAGGGAGCTAGAAGGGAAGTGGAGCAGCCAGGATACAAACCAGTGCCCATAGGAGATCCTGGCATATGCAAGGCAAGAACTTTAGCCTCTAGGCTACCGCGCCAGGCCCATAGGCCCAACTTCTTAAACATGAAAAGAGTCAAAAGTAAATAGACCTTCATGTTCTTTTTGAAAATATGACCCAACCAATGGGGCAGTGGTTTAACTACTACCCGGAACTCCCTCTTTCCCTGTCAGAGTGTTCTGCCTCAAGTCCTGGCTCTGCTCTCCATTCCAGCCTCCTGCTCAGGCATGCTTGGAGGCGGCAGGTAAGGGCTCACATAGCTGGGCCTGTCACCCACATGGGAGACCTGGACGCTGCTCCCAGCACCTGCTTCCGGCTGTAACAGTGCCATCTACTGTGGGCATTGGGGAGTGCACCAGCTGGGGAGTGTATCCACAGCAGATTAAGGTTCCAGCAGATAGAAGATCAGTATCTCTCTCTCTCTCTCTCTTTTCTTGTCTTTTAAATAAATTAAGTAATTTAAACAGAAAATATTGGGGCTGTCATTGTGGTACAGCACAGTAAGCCACCACCTGCAATACCAGCATCCCATTCGCATGCTGGTTCACACCCTTGCTGCCCCATTTCTAATTTGGCTTCTACTAATCTACCCAGGCAGTCAGCAGCAGATGGCCAAGGCCCTGAACCCCAGACACCAGGAGACCCTGATAAGGCTCCTGGCTGCTGGCTTCCAGCTGTCCCAGCCTTGGCCTTTGCGCCCATATGGGGAGCAAACCAGCAAACGAAAGATGTCTGTACCTCTGCCTTTCAAATAAATGCAATATATGTATATATTAAAGAAAAAAGAAACAGCTCCGTGCTTATGACTTGGGAAGGCAGCGGAGGATGGTCCAGGTCCGTGGGCCCTGCACCCACTTGGCAGACAGCAGCATCATCTCCTGTTCCCGTACTCTTCTAGAACCTTCCTACTTCACCGTCAAGAGGCAGAACGCCATTCTCTTTCTCCTGAATGAGCGTGACTGGCAAACGTGACACTGTGACATCTTCGACTAGGCTGTAAAAAGCGATTCAGGTACAAGAGGCCACCACCCTGCAGTCAGGAAGGCCAGAGGCACTCCTGCAGGGGGCCTGCCTCACGGCCTGCAACCACTCCAGCTCCTGTCTGCCCAGGCCAGAATCCCCCCCAGCACAGCCCTTCCCAAGGTCCAGAGCAGCTGAGAGGGAATCAAATTCCTTTTATTGTGGCTGTAAGCATCAAATTTTGAGGTGACACACTAACTCATCAAACCAGGTTGCCAACCAGCATTTTTATTAAAAGAACACTGTTATAACCTGGAAAACGGGTGCAAGGGGTCTTCCACGGGTTCTATTGTCTAGCACTCGGAGAAGAGCAGAGTCGGAAAACAACGGGGAAGCTGCCTACAAGACAGGCCCCTCGTGTTACAGAGCACAGGTGGTCACTTGCTAGGATTTCCTATCCGCGGTCTCCATGGAGTATTCCAAAATGCCACGGGGATGCTCACCAACCACTTGACCCTGAAGGAGAAGAGGGCGCTGAAGGCGAAGATGACCCAGAGCAGCGGACAGGCAATCAGCCCGAGCCAGAACATCCTGGACTCAGCCTCCGAGACGGCCTCACCTTCCTCAGAGGATGCCTACACAGCAAAGACAGGACAAAACCAAAAAACACACCACGTAATTCCAATCGATAGTTTAACATTTTTTTAAAAGGACCTATTTATTTTTATTGGAAAAACAGATATTCAGAGAAGAGGAGGAGACAGAGAGGAAGAGCTTCCATCCGCTGATGTGAAGTGAGCACATCCAAGTGAGCACGGCGGCTGGAGCTGAGCCAATCCAAAACCAGGAGCCAGGAACTTCTTCTAGGTCTCCCAGGTGGGTGCAGGGTCCCAAGGCTTTGGGCCGTCCTTGACTGTTTTCCCAGGCCACAAGCAGGGAGCTGGATGGGAAACGGGACTAGTGGGCTATGAACAGGTGCCCATAGGAGATCCCAAAACGTTCAAGGCAAGGACTTTAGCCGCAAGGCTATTGCACCAGGCCCCCTGTTCTTTTTTTTTTCAAAAGATTTATTTATTTTTATTGGAAAGTCAGATATACAGAGAAGAGGAGAGACAAAGAGGAAGAACATTTTTAATAAAAGCATTTCACTCTCAAATTGAGTGCTGGGCAGAGCTCAGCGGGGTTTCTCTCCCATCAGGCCCCTGGCTCTTACAGATCTGTGCTCTGTTTCTTTCTCCAGCTGTGTGTCAGCTCCCTCTTCACGTACCCCTCCCTGGTTCACGCTGCGCCAACTGCAAGCAGCCCAGCACCCTCCAAGCAGCCCAGCACCCTCCAAGCAGCCCAGCATCCTCCAAGCAGCCCAGCATCCTCCAAGCAGCCCAGCATCCTCGCACATCCCCTCTGAGGACTCTATCCCCACACCTGCTTTGTGTTTGCTCCGAACTGGACCAAAACAATGCATTCAGTTTCATGATAGTTCATTACTGATATGTCTGGTGACACAGGGTAGTGCATTCAGTCTTGAATACTCTTAAATAATGAATGTAATCTAAATGTAATTTATCAAATGATACTACTTAATAAGGGAGAAAAGAATCAGCTTACCTTCCTGGATTCAAACACCCAATGGCTCTTTCCATCTTCATCAATATGATTCCACCAACGTAAGCCTACCATCAATCTACCTGTGACATTCTGGAAGAAACGTAATATACACTTAAAAAACCCACTGGAAGGTCATACCTTAGTGTCACATTTCCCCCCCACAAAACTCTCTACCCAGCTAATAAAAAAACGGTTGGTTATCCAGCAGGCCTGGCTACAAGACCAGCAGGGGTGAAGGCGAGAGGCTAACAAGTATACCCCCAAGCACGAGGCCAGCTCCTTCCCCTCGCTCTGTGTCCAGTTCCTGACTCCCCACGCCCTGTCTTCACATGCAGTGACTTACGCTTCCCCGCACATCTGACTGTAGCTACTTACACTTTACCACTGTAGATGGCTACAAATGGTAACAGCCACCAGCCTTCACTCAACCCCTGAAACACCGCAACTTGTTTTCTTGCTTATTAAAGTGACAAATTACTCTGGCAGCTTTCTCAGCTGCTAGACATCAGGACTAAAGTGTACCAGCGGTACAGGTAGGTGCCACCTGTTCCTCCAGGAGCTTCAAGCGTCAAGGAGAAGAGAGGAAAGCACCCACGTGCCAATGTGTCGTCACTACGTGCAGCACATGCTGGGAAGGAGACGCACTGGAAGCTACAGTGCAACAGGGGAAATGTGCTCAGTCCCTCAAAAAGTCAACATTTGGGGATAAAACTTGATGAAATCTTAGGACTCAATAATACAGAGAGTGCTTCTTTAGTGGTATCCACTAAGAGATTCGGGGATTCTATGAACTCAGAAAAATCATACCTTTATTTTCACTAACGCCCGCCTGAAAACTGGCATGTTACACATACAGACAACAAATCATGAATGTGAATAGAATTAATACCCAAATCTGTCGCAATAAGAACTACATATAATTTTCACTTTGTGGGCCCGGCATGGTGGCCTAGCAGTTAACGTCCTCACGTTTCACACGCCAAGACCCCATAAGGATGCTAGTTCTAATCTCGGCAGCCCCGCTTCCCATCCAGCTCCCTGCCTGTGGCCTGGGAAAGCAGTCGAGGAGGGCCCTGTACCCGCGTGGGAGATCCGGAAGAGGATGTGGATTCCCAGCTCTGGATCAGCACAGCACCAACCACTGCGCTCACTTGGGGAGTGAACTACCGGACGGAAGATCCTCTCTGTCTCTCCTCCTCTCTGTATATCTGACTTTGCAATAAACATAAATAAATCTTTCAAAATATATATATATACATAATTTTCATTTTGTACAATACTTACACTGCTGTGTCAAAATTCTGTTCATGCTTATCATTGTTTTGAAATGTTAGTTTTAAGTCCTGTCAATGCACTCATAAAGAAATTTCATATGCTAAGTCAGAAACTCATATTTTCAATACTTTTAATTATATAATCATAGTCACTCCTTGGTACCACCGGGGGAGTGGTTCTAGGATTCCCCTACAGACAACAAAATACGTGGTGGCTCAACTTCTTTATATGAAATGGCACCTTATTACGTCTGACCTACACACATCTTCCCAAATACCTTATCTCTTAATTACGTGAGGCACCTAATACTCAAGCAGTGTGCCATCTACACAGCTTCCTACTGTATTGTTTGTGGAGTGGTGACAAGGAAAGTCTGTATTATGTTTAGTACAGACGCAAATTATTTCCTTCACATATTTTCAGGCTGTGGTTGGTTGATTCCATGGCTGTAGAACCAGCAGATAGGGTGGGCTATGTTTCAACATAAATGACTCTCTCTGTGGCCTTATGTATTTTCTTACATATTTGAAAACACTGCTCATGGTTTCATGAGACGATGAAAGAAGTCTGTGGCATAAGACAGATTAGAAATTCTTGTATGAAGGTGATGAGGGAGTGTCAAGAACATTTCAGACACAGTCGTAGACTCAGAAGCCTCGAGCTAGAAAGTAAAATGCATGGGTTTATGAGACATGGAGCCCAACTGGATAAGGAGACAACACTCATGTCGGGCTTGCTCAAGCAAAATACAGTGATCCAAAACGCACAGAAGGGAATACCTATGCAAAAAGCAGTGTTGTGGGGGATGGAAGATGACAAGTATTTTACATGCGCTGGATTCAAGGTGTCTTCCACACAGTCATAAGAAACTAGAACAAATGGAGACGACGGTAGCTGGGCAGACAAACTTGGATGGAGATGGGCATCTGGGACCCCGCATATAGAGCAGCAACAGAAACCAGTGGCAGGGATGGCCGTGCCCAGCAAGGGAACACGGAGGGCAAAGACCCCAATTCCATCCTGGAGATGTGAGCCCTGAAAGGCTGAGTGAAAGAGAAAGGCTGGCGGGACACTCCTGGACAGCCCTTCCATGCTCCCACTTCCCAGCACTCTACTTTCTGCCTTTGTGAGTTGGTCTGTCCTGACACCTCCAGGATTCTTGATTTTAGAACTTTCAGCCCTGAGTGGTCCAGACTTTCACTCTTTCTGGCCAAAACTCAAAAGAGCCTGCAGCATCTTGTTTTTGTTCTAAACACAGTTTTAGATACATTCCAGAGCTTGGCACAGCCATTAAGGTCTAAGTTATCTTTACACTTTCAAGGTTTTTTTAAACCAAGACATTTAGCAAATTTTTACTTTGGGTTTTTTGTTGTTTGTTTGTTTCTGTTGTTGTTTGGTTTTCAGGTTTTTTTTTCTTTTTTGTGTGATGTCGGCAACCACTTTTTAATTACTTTCTAGCTGTACTGACTAGAAAATGAATGCTTTTGCAAATTTATCTGCATTTCCTTCAGAGTGGTATTTAACCAGTTTTTGGAAATGATCCACAGACATTCTCTGTACATAAAAAGTGCTAAACACTGCTTAATTACCTTTGCTAATTATTCCTTTCCACCAGTCGTCACTTTTGGGTTGCATCTTATCCGGAGTGATGACTTGTCAGGCCTACTAACACAGTGTTCCTTCCATCTTTCTCTAGTATTTCTAATGTTCTTCACGATGCACATTTTGATCCATCATTTTATTCTGCAAAAGACCCTCACTGTGAGTCATAAAATGAGCTTTTGAGGGTTTGTACCCAGGGCTTTCCATCCTGATTTCTCTTTCATCTGATAATAATCCCAAGTTTCTTTTGATCTGAACTGATTTGATGTTATCTTTGTTTTAATTCTTACAAATATTGATATTTTAGTTTGACCTTTTTGCTTGGACCTTTTTTTTTTTTTAAAGATTTATTTTATTTTTATTGGAAAGGCGGATATACAGAGAGGAGAGACAGAGAGGAAGATCTTCCGTCCAATGATTCACTTCCCAAATGAGCCACAATGGTGATGTTATGCTGATCCGAAGCCAGGAGCCTCTTCCGGGTCTCCCACGTGGGTGTAGGGTCCCAAAGCCTTGGGCCGTCCTCGACTGCTTTCCCAGGCCACAAGCAGGGAGCTGGATGGGTAGTGGAGTAACTGGGATATGAACTGGCACCCATATGGGATCCCGGGTGCGCAAGGCGAGGACCTTAACCACTGCGCCACCGCGCCGGGCCCTAGACCTTTATTTTTTTAAGATTTAATTTTTATTATCTATTTGAAAGACAGAATTATACAGCGATAGATCCATCTTCCACCTGCTGGTTCACTCCCCAAATGGCCGCAACAGCTGGAGCTGAGATGAGCTGAGCTGAAGCCAGGAGCTTCTTCCAGGTCTCCCACATGCGTGCTGGACCCCAAGCAGCTGGGTTATCCTCTGCTGCTTTCCCAGACTTCTACCTTAGCAGAGAACTGTGTTGGGAGAGAAACAGCAGGACTTGACCAGTACTATATGGTTTGCCAGCACTGTAAGCAGGAGCTTAACCCACTATATGCTTTCCCAACTCCATTTAGTAATTTCTCTTAATTGCTCAGATAACTGTAATTAATTTTCACAAAAATAAACAGGTGACAATTTTTTTAAGTCCACATTTTAAAATCCTACAAGAAAGTATACTATTTGGAGACCTCATTGCTAATCCTCAACTGGCTAATCCTCCATCTCCAAGTGCAGCATCCCAAATACATACTGGTTCATATCCTGACTGCTCCACTTTCCATCCAGCTCTCTGCCTATGGCCTGGGGAAGCGGAGGAGGATAGCCAAGTACTTGGGACCCTGCACCCATGTGAGAGACCTGGCAGTAGTACCTGGCTCTTGGCTTTGGACTGGCTCAGCTCTAGCCATTGCAGCCATCTGGGGGAGTGAACCAACAGACGCAAGATCTTTCCTCTCTGTCTCTCCCTCTCTCTGTAAATCTGCCTTTCCAATGAAAATAAATAATAAAATCTTAAAAAAAAAAAAGTAAACATACTATTTTGGTCACGGTTTCAAAAGTCCTAAACACAGAAGGATTTGGTTTTAAGAGCTTGGCAATTACCAGGAAAACCAATTGAAGGCCATGCTTTACTAGCCTCAGCAGAAATTCAATGAATAACAAAAAGAAACATGGATGCAAACCTGTGACCAAGATACATAATTCTAGAGCATAAAGCAACACAAGAAATTCAAAAAAACACAAAGCAAAGAAGAATGGCCGGAAGGTGGGGCAATAGGCAAAGGCGGCCGTGATGCCAGCATCCCATACAAGCACCACTTTTGAGTCCTGGCTGCACCTGCTTTCCAATCCATCTCCCTGCTAACGCACCTGAGACAGAGCAGAAGCCAGCCCACACACTTTGGGCCCCTTCTACTCATTTGGTTCACCAGAATCGAGTTTCTGGTTTCTGGCTGGTCGCATTCTGGCCACTGCCTAGGGAGTTCATCAGCAGATGAAAGATCTCTCTCTCCCTCTGTATCCCTGCCTTTTAAATAAATAATCAGTTTTTAAAAGAAAGAAAAAGAAAACAGACCTTTGAGATCGTCCTTCTCCACATTATGAAACCTTGGAAAACTGGCCACCTCCTAACCAACAACTTTTGACACTTTTAAGAATTAAAAGTTCTAAAACCAGCCAGGGTAGCACCTGCCAACAGATTTCACTTGAATCGGTGCGCATGTCTCTAAGAGTCCAAAATTAGCCCTTGATATGTTTTCCCCCATCATTTTCTCTTGCTCCCCTCTCTCCCCTCCAGCAGGATTTCTTGACCTTGACATAACTGACATTGTGCTTCAGATAACTGTTGTAGAATCATCTGGCCCCTGGGCGTCCTATGATGTTGAGCAGCATGCCAAGTCTCTACACACCAGGTCACACCCCCCTCCTCCCCCAGGTAGGACAATGAAAAATGTCTTTGGGGATTCTGATAAATGTCCACTGGCCCTGGCTTAAAAGCACGGCCCTACAGAGCCCATGGGAGCCTTTGCAAACAGTGGACACTCCTTCAGCATCTACGGAAAAACCCACAGCTGACTGAAGTACAGCCAACTGGAGGGCTTAGAGGCAATGCGTAAGTCCGCGGCTGCCAGTCAGAGAGAGAGAGAGAGAGAGAGAGAGAGAGTGTGTGTGTGTGTGTGTGTGTGTGTTTTAACTGTAAAGCAGGTGCAGGCTGACACACAGTAGGTCGACTCAATGGTAGAATAATATGTGTAACATCTGACACACCTAGCAGTTTAACATAGAGGAGGCCTGATGTGACCAGGTTAATTAAAACGAACGCAAACCCGAGTTCCTATCTCATATTCTTTGTACATCATTCAATCTCACAGTAAATATGATTTGAAAAGTAAAGCAACAAAAACCTACCTTCACTGCCCAAAAGTCACATGACAACAACAAGATAATTGTCACCATACAGGCAATAAAGCTGCTGCTGAGTAATTCACAGAGCAGATACACTACAATTGCACTGACTCGAAAGAACAAATGGAAAAATGATGCCACTGGATGTCTGAAAACCAAAACATAATAAAAAGAAATGCAATTACATTCTGTGACAGGTACGGGTATAGATGACAAGGCGTTCGCCCCAGCATAACCATGAACAATTTGCCAAAACAAAAGAGATGAACTGAGAAAGAAGCCAAGTGCCTGTTTCTCTTCCCTTCCGTCCCACCACGGGAATAGGCCCTGCTGTCACGGGAGATCACTGCCGTAAGCGTGACTTCAACATCACAGTGAGCAGGAACTTTCAACAAGATACACAATGACTACCTGGCCTGGAGAGATCAATCACACCTTCAAGTTGGAATTCTGTTTTTACACGATGCCAAAAGAATCTAGAAGGTCCGAAAATCACTTTTTTCCGGCTTTATTCATTCACATACCAATCATTCCTCATTGAAAAGTGTACAATATATTAAAGGTTTTTAATATATTCATGCAGGTGTTCAGGCACTAGTTCACTTCAAATTTTGATCACCCCAAAAAGATATTCTGTACCCATTTGCAGTCACTCCCCATTTATCCTCAAGCCCTTCAGCCCTAGGCATCCATAAGCTATTTTCCGTCACACACAATTCTGGATATTTTCCATAACTAAAATCACACTGTATGTGGTCCTGATGACTGGCACTGGGTATGATGTTTCCGTGGCTCTGGCAGAACGCGGTTTCCTTGAGAACATTTTCTCAGAGAACTAAATATGGACTCGACGCATGTTTCCCACTTCCGTGACATCTACAGACAGAGCAGCACTGAGCACTGGCAACCCGCACGACTTCCCCTCATACCTGATTTTGGATTTTCTTGGTTTGTTAGTTGACTCCTCCTCTGCATCAAAAAGGGAAACATCCTCCGTGTCATCGTTACTGTCCTGGTAGGAAAATTAAATATTCATGAGACAGAATAAAAGTCAGCATTTGGATGCTGCCTACATGCCAGGACACAAGTTTATAAAGGCAGAGGACAAAATGGCCACGTGGTCACAGCCATCAAGAATTCACAACCTAGGGAGAGGACACGGGCAGGTCCTCCAGCCCCATCCCAACCGCCTGGCAGAAGGCCTACGGGGTACCACCTCCATCCTGACTGCTGGGCAGCCAACGGCTCTGAGAACCCTTGTGTGTGAGAGCTACTCTGCTTGCTAAAAGAATGGGCAAATAAGTCAAGGAAGCATTTGATCAGCTCTAACAGACTACCTTCAGCGCCAGGACAACCCCAAGCAGCGGAGCAAACCCGGGCTGAGAAGAGATCATGTCCCTTGGAGGGCTCTGGGGGGGCGTTCATCACTTGGGCCTTGATCCCCCAGACCTGCTGCTCACTCCAGCTTCTCAGTCAAGGATGCAGGAATTCAAGGGCATGGGAAAGAGCGAGCCCAGCAGGTCACACAGTAAGCGAAGGGTAGGAGAAGCACACCGGGCACTAAGGCTGGTAAAGGTTACAGATTCAGATAGCAGCGGTTCTCAACGTTGACTACACACCAGAATGCTCAGGAATAGTAAAATGACAAAAAAAAAAAAAAAAACCAATAACCTAGTCCCTACTTCCAGAGGATCAGATCCAACTGCTCTGAGGTATGGCCTGGGCATCTGGCAAACTTCCAGGGAATGCACACACGCAGCCGAGGCTATGGAATAAAACCTGCGGCTCTCTGCTCTTGACCAACAATTCCTGGGCACCTTTCCATGTCAGACCACACCATTCCCCTCCTCAACACCCACAGCAGTCACCCATCACCAACCTGCCCCTGCCCACCTCCTAGGCCACTTTCCTTTCATTAACCAAAGACCTCCTTCTCAATCCTGCCCCAGATACCCAGGCTCCCATTCCCAGAACCAGGGATTACAGCAAAAAGGAATTTTTTAATTGACTGAAGGGTCTTGACCTAGGGCGATTCCTGGGTTATCCAGATGTGCTCAAGGACTTGACTACAAGAACCCTTGTAAAGAGGGACACGGGAGGTGCAGGGTCAGAGATGATGATGGCCTGGCACAGTAGGCTAGTGGCTAAAGACCTCGCCTTGCACGCACCTGGATCCCATATGGGTGCCAGTTTGTATTCCAGCTGTTCCATTTCTCTGCCAGCTTCCTGCTTGTGGCCTAGAAAAGCAGTCAAGGCTGACCCAAAGCCTGGGGAACCTGTGCCCACATGGGAGACCCAGAAGAAGCTCCTGGTTCCTGGCTTTGGATCAGCTCAGCTCCAGCTATTGCAGTGACTTGAGGAGTGAGCCAGCAGATGGAAGATCCTTCTGTCACTCCTCTATAAATCTACCTTTCCAATAATAAATAAATCTTTAAAGAAAACAAAGCAAGTAGAGATGAGAGATCTGAACATGCTACATGGAAGAAGAAGCGACCATGAGCCAAGAAGCCGAGGCAGCCTCCAGGGGCTGAGACAAGACCCTCCTCGCGGCCATCCAGAAGGAATAACACTGCCCACATCTTGATCTAACACCCTGATACTCCGGATATCTGACCAGATTTTTTTTAAGACACTTTGTTTTAAGGTACATTTAGTAATCTGTTTTCATAATTCCGAGACTGGCCGCCTTTTTGAGTAAAGAAACACATCCCACTTGTATCCACTGGGTCCATTTATTTATTTATTAAGATTTGTTTTTATTGGAAAGGCAGATATACAGAGAGGAAGAGAGACAGAGAGGAAGATCTTCCATCCATGGGTTCACTCCCCAAGTGGCTACAACAGCCAGAGCTGAGCCAATCTGAAGCCAGGAGCCAGGAGCTCTTCTAGGTCTCCCATGCGGGTGCAGGGTCTCAAAGCTTTGGGCCATCCTCCACTGCTTTCCCAGGCCACAAGCAGGGAGCTGGATGGGAAGTGGAGCAGCTGGGATTAGAACCGGCGCCCATTTGAGATCCCGGCGTGTTCAAGGCGAGGCTTTTAACCACTAGGCTATCACACCGGGCCCACTGGGTCCTTTTAGACCTGTGATTCCTCTTCCTAGCAGCACGCCTCTGTCCTACCGTTTGAAAGCCCGGCAGCTTCTCACACATTCAGCAAATACTGAGTGCTTGCTAACTGCTGAGCCCGCAGGCACAGGCCAAGGCGGGGACACACAACCCTGTACTCACGGAACTGCTTTTATGCAGAAGATAGAGACCACGACACAACACATATGAGAGCAACACCAGGAATACTGAACTCGAGATGCCAGTAAAAGATTTTGCTTTTTCCCAGAGACGCTGAGAGAACCATTAATGCCCTGTAAACAACAGAGAACGGACATGCTCTGACTCACATGAAAAGTCTGGCTTCTTGTATTAAGAACTTGCAGGGTGGCGCGACAAAGGCACAAAGCAATGGCACTGCTGAGGGAGGGCTCCCCATGGAGCCTGGTGCCGCGTGGACCGAGCGGAGTTAGCGGAAAGTGGGAAGACGGAGAACAAGCTTTAAAGCACAGCTGATGCGGTCTGCCGACTTGAATTTGGAGGGTAAGAGAACGGCACTCAGGGAAGAGTCTGAAGTTTGGTCCCCAACATCCCAACAGGGTCAAGACGCCAATGACGGGGTGTGGGTACCCCGAGGTGAGGTGTCCAGCAAGGTGAGAAGAACAGGCCAGGAGTGACACGGGACGGGAGGTGAACCTGGGGAACAGTCTCCAGGAGGGAGCCCAAGGATTGCTTACAAGATGCGATTGCAAAGTGGCCAGTCTCTTTTGAACAGATCACAGCTCAGTCAGCGCAGAGGAAGGGGAAGGCACTCAGACGAGAACGCACGACAGAGAATACAAGACTTCGGGAGGAGTCCCAGGCGGCTGTTCTGAGAGCCAAAGACGGCGTGAGAGGCGCGAGGGCACAGGAGTCCCGAAGACAGGGAAAGCAAAGCATGTTTATACCCTGGCGGTGTGAACAAGCTTTCAAGAAAGAAGACTGACATGCAGGAAAAGAGAGCCGCTGGAGCCAAGTTTCCCAGCAGGCAAGAGGGGATGAGAACCAAAGGGAGACAGGCTGTCAAGTCCAGCTGCCCCAGAGGAACGCAAGTATGGGGCGATGCTGGGCCAAGATGCAGAAGAGCAAAAAGGCGGTGTGAAAACTCCCCTGGGATGGGGGTCAATTCCTCGGCGAAACAGGGTTGCGAGAGTGGCGAAAGCAAGAAAAGCTGACAGTCTAAAAGACGCTCTGACAGTGGCCCACGACCGTGGAGACGTGGAGGACACGACCGCCCACCTGAAGTTCCCCCGCGCAGCAGCTTCAGAAGTGACAACAGCCTCCCCCCAGTCAGGAGACAGAGAGCTCCGATCTTAAGAGTCCTGGGATTGTTCTCGAGTCCACGGCAGTACTTTTTAGGATCCTAAATCCTAGCTGTGCTAGCTGCAGGTGGTTCACAGCTGATGGCTGTTCCGTTCACAACCCTCTCCCTGGGCCTACAACAGTTCCGTGGAATACAGTGATCTCTCAAGAAATTATGTGTTAAACGAAAAAAAAAAAAAAAAGAAAGAAACCTTGGTGAAAATATAAACAACCACTGTAAAAAAGCAAGAGATTCAGTTATGCAGAACCCTTGACCGTGAGGCTCTGGCGGGGTCCTCCGTGCCTACAATGACCACCACGCGCCCCTCATTGGGGCTGGTCTCGGGGGTCGCCCCCAGGTACCCCGATCCACGCTCGGGGGGCCACAGGCTCCTGGACAGGCCCCAAGCTGGCCCTGCCCGCCGGACACCTGTCCACAGCCCCCGCACGCCCGCCGGGCCACACCGCGCTCCTCCGCGTAGGTGACGGGGCCACACGCGGAAACAACCACCCTCACCCCAGAACGTGCCCCTGGACGCCCCCACGACCCTGACAAGGCCAGCCCCTCGGCCAGCTCCACCGCCCACCGCCCCTCACCTGGGACAACATGGCGAGCCTGCGCCGGCCCCACTTCCGGGAGCCACGTCAGCGCCACAGCCCCCGGGTCCGGGTCGGAACCGACGCAAACTCGTCCCTACAGGCTGGGAGGCAGGGGCCGATAGACAAGGACACTTCCGCTAGGAGGTGCGTCGCGGGAGGAGTGACTCCGGGTGAGGGCGCGCACGGGCGGAGCTACATGGGGGCGGGGCTGGGAAGAGACAAGAAGAGCGAACCGGCGTGAGCGGAGCGGCTATGGGGCGGGGCTAAGCGGGGACGGGGCGAGGTGCGCATGGGCGAAGCGACTATGGGGCGGGCATGAGGGTGGAGCCACATGGGGCGGAGCTAAGCGGGGACGGAGCAAGATGCCTGGAGAGGCGTGAGCGGAGCGGCTACGGGGCGGAGCTACGTGGGGGCGGGGCTAATCGTGGGCGGAGCGAGTTGCCAAGAGCAGCAAGGGCGGAATCAAAGATGTAAGATGTTGCCCAGGAGTAAGGCAGTCACAGTTACCTGAAGAGGCAGCTTGGCCCAACGTTGGTGAGGGCAGCCCTGCCCCCTGGCTCATCTGCAAGGCCCGCCCCTGAGGGTAGTGGCACTTGCTGGTTTTGTTGTTTTAATTTTTTAATTTTGTTGCACATTCTACTTGAATTCATTACCATGCTGCCTAGGTGGGTAGAGATGCGTGGAATCTGAACTTGCAGGGGTTGCCTCCCCATCGCCTATGAATGAAACAGACTTTCCTGAGTCTCCCGGAATGGTTTTGGGGTAGAGGGAGATGCAGGTGCCTACTCCTCCTGTTTTCTGGCATTGTTTGGCTTACAAGAAGGTAAAGCTAGGGGCTCGCGGGTTGCCTGCGGGAAACACACACACAAGCATCCTGCGGGAGAATAAGCCACTTGGTTTTCTGTTTATTGTAAGATGCTGTTCTTTCCCAAGGCTGGTTTAGATAAACACGTTGTGTCCAAGTTCTGGGGCTGCTACTTTCCCTTCCTTCATGAACTGGTCGATGGCCAGCCCTTTGAGCTTCCTGATCCATGCAGCTCGGCTGGCTTTCCCCATGTCGACCACGCCTCTGGCCCCGCAAGCCTGGTACTCTTTCATCTTGGCTTCCCTGTACTCGCCCTCCTCCTTCACGGTCAGCAGCAGGTAGTCAGTGTTCAGCCTCAGCGGGTCCAGCGCCGTGCACACACGGGGCCGCTCTTTTTTGAGGCACTGGGCCGCTGTGCCCACTCGAGGTGTGGTCACACTGCTGGGCTTGAAAACCTGCCTGCTGCCCAGGGGACCCAGGCTGCTCACCCGGCCCGGGGTGGAACTGGTGGCTCCACCTTCCCGCTTGAAGCCATCAGGGGGCTTGGAGCGGATTAGCACGGGCTGGGGGATGGTGGACTGCACCCCCGGGCTGTGCAGGGACCTCTTCAAGTTGGGTTGCAGTTTCTGGAACTCCAGGGGAATGTTGGTTTCTTTCACATCCAGGGTGGGGTTGCTGGCTCGCAAGCGGTCAACCGCCTGCTGGAGTGATTTTCCTTTGAAGCTCAGGATCTTCCGCGGGTGGGAAATGGGAGGGCCCCAGGCATCCAGGACCTGGGTTTGTGGCCTGTGGGGATAAGCAAATTGTCCCGAGTTGTGTGCTTGCTGCAGCGCGTTGATGGTCAGCAGGAACCGATCCGGGGACATGGGGATCTTCAAGAGTTTGTCCTTCATGCGAGGGGTGAACTTGACAGTTTTCACTTGTTTTTGCTCTTGTACTTTCTGCACAAAATCTGCTTCTTTGAAAGAAAAAGACAAAGTCAGCGTTCTTTGCGAAATGCAGAGGACTGATGCACAAAGACAATGCTATTCGAACTGGCAGGCTCTCCGTGGGGTCTTTGCTATCCAACAATAGCCGTGTGATATTCCCAGTGATGTCACAAGTGACAACACCAAAAATTACTTCACAAGATTTGAGTGACTATGCTAGCACCTGTCACAAATGTGCATTAGCCTCTGGACGTATGTATTTTGCAGGTGACACTGCCTCCTGAGTCTGCGCGTGTCTGAAACATCCTTTTGTGAATTCACTTCACAGCTCCCGTGGGATTTCCAACACTGGCTTTTAGTCACATGGGGATTGCTACAGCAATCACCACCTTGTTACTTGGATCTCATTCCAAGCCATCTTGGAGTTTTCCCAAAATCAAAGCTGTCTTTTCAAAGGAAGTTACATGCTCAGTAAGGTAAAATACCACACGAGTAAGAGGAGGCTCCCACACAGGAGTTTCCCAAACATGTTGAACAAGAGCAGCAGGTCCAAAAGCCACTGACAACAATAAGAGGATCCCTATTTTATGTTAATGAGATCCTCCCGGGGCTGGTGCTGTGGCACTGTGGGTTAAGCCATTGCCTACAAGGCCAGCATCCCATGCACGTGCCAGCTCAAGTCCTGGCTGCTCCACTTCTGGGCCAGCTCTCTAGCAATGCTCCTGAGAAAGTGGTGGAGGAGGACCCATTTTTTTTTTCCCCCCTGATCTTTACTTGGTTAAACTCTATTTTATTAGAAGACATAAGGCTGAGTGAAATTAAGATGTCAGGATCCTCCCCTCTCTCATTTCAAACTCATAAAACACAGAATGCTCTCCATTTGTTTTTAAAAAGTAGAGAGAGAGTTGTGACAAGTTCTCTTTTCACTAATTTGTCCCTTTTTGCATAATAAACAAAGGGCTTCAGAAAGTTCATAGGGGAAAATGGAATTAAAGATAGGATTATTTTGGTGCCAATAAAATGTTTACGAGGGGCCTGGTGCGGTGGCCTAGTGGCTAAAGTCCTCGCCTTGATGCACCAAGATCCCATATGAGTGCCAGTTCGTATCCCGGCAGCCCCACTTCCCATCCAGCTCTCTGCTTGTAGCCTGGGAAAGCAGTCAAGGACGGCCCAAAGCCTTGGGACCCTGCAACACACACACACCCGCCCCCATGGAAGACCCAGAAGAAGTTCCTGGCTCCTGGCTTTGGATCAGTTCAGCTCCCGCTGTTGAGGCCACTTGGGGAGTAAATCATCGGATGGAAGATCTTCCTCTCTGTCTCTCCTCCTCTCTGTATATCTAGCTTTGCAATAAAAATAAATAAAGCTTTTTTTTTTAATGTTTAAGATTTGGAAAGCAAAACATGAGTGAGAGAGAGAGAGAAAGCGAGAGTGAGATTTTTTTCCATCTACAAGTCCACTCCCCAAGTAACCACAATAGGTACTAGACTAAGACAAAGCCAGGAGCTACGAATTGTGCCTGAGTCTCCTATGTGGGTGGCAATGGCTCAAGCATTCGAGCCATCATCTGTGGTCTTCCCTTGGACGTTAGCATGGAGCTGGATCATAAAAATAAGTAGCCAGGAATCGAACTGCTGTTCCAGTATGGGATTCCAGCACTACATGCATTGGCTTAACTCACTGTGCCACAGTACCAGCCTCAGATGGGGGACTGAGGGATGGAGGAATGAATCCCAAGCATTATAGGGGTCTTGTAAAGCTTGTGGGAATTCCTGGGGCAGGTGTTTGGTCTGGTGCTTAAGACAAAAGTTAAGAAGCCTGCATCCCATGTCGGAATGTCCAGGTTCAGTCCCCACGTCTCGTGTCCCTCTTCTTCCCTCTGATGCAGACCTTGGGAAGGAGCGGTGCTGACTCAGGCCACAGGAGTCCTATGGTTCACGAGGGAGTCAAGGACGGAGGTTCCAGGGTCTGGCTTCAGCCCAGCATCTTGCTGCGTTTAGGAGAAGAACCACAGGAGGGAGCTCCCTCTCTGATTATGTATATATTTGTCTTCCTTCCTTCCTTCCTTCCTTCCTTCCTTCCTTCCTTCCTCTCCTCTATGTTAAAAGTGCATGAATATAAAATTCTCTGCACACAGATAGGCTTATCTTTTAATTCCATTTTCCGATGAATTTTTTGAAAGACCCTCATATTGTGGCTCTCTTTCCAAGCCGAGAGAGAGAGAGAGAGAGAGAGAGAGAGAGAGAGAGAGAAAGAGATCATCATTATACAATTTTTAAAATTTTATTTATTTTTATGTGAAGGGCAGATCTGCAGATAGAAGAGGTGGCAGAGAGAGAGAGAGAACCATTCACTGGCTAAATCCCCAAATGGCTGCAACAGCTGGTGCTGAACTAATCTTAAACCAGGAGCCAAGACCTTCTTCCAGGTCTCCCACATGGGTGTAGGGTTCCAAGGCTTTGGGTGATCCTCCATTGTTCTTCTAGTCCATAAACAGTGGTCTGGATCGGAAGTGGAGTATCCTGGATTAGAACCAGCACCCATAGTGGATGCCAGCACTGCAGGTGGAGGATTAACCTGTAACCCACCATGCCGGTCCCCATTATACAATTTTTTATGTATGATATAACATTCCATCATATGGATTTCTCATCAACTTAGCCATTTCCCACTGAAGGATATTCAGCTGGCTAATGACCAAATACAAACGTCAATTGTACTTATCACATAAATGGGTACGCAGTGATGGACAACAGAGTTCCCATGCATGGAATAAAAACCCTTGTGCATTGTCAGTGAGGAAGGAAATTGGCACAGCGTGCGCAGGACAGCCAGGTCCACCTCCTCCTAGTTAACTGCAGTTCCCTTTATTGGACTATGCAGGTGTAAACACAAGGACAGCAGCTATGCAACGACCGCACTGTGTTGGCACCACCTTGAAACCAGACTGTAGGGAGTTGGTTTCGGAAACAGCACCAGGTTGTGAGTCAGAAATCCTTGAAGAGCATTTACAGTTTAAGTGTCCTTCAAGCAACACAAAGGGACTGCGCTGTCACAATGCTGAGCAACACTTCTCAAAAGGCCTGTTCCATCTCTTTCTCCTTCATCTCCTTCGGTCGCGTACCTAGCACCCAGCCTAAGCACTCCCTTGAGACGTTCCCTCCAGTGTTCTCTGAGAGCAGCCTCAAGCTCCTCCCCTTCCCCACACTCAGACTGCAAGGAGGCCCAAGAGGGGGCTGAGAGCTCAGGAACTGGACACGCAACTCTCACAAAGGTTCCTCCCCTGTCATCTTGAGTTAGTAGACAACTAAGGGGAGCCACTCACGCTTAGAAGTCAGACACTATCCCTTCTGAATTCTCAAACAGAAGCAAAGGTATCAGCCTGCTCGAAAGCAAAAGGAAACGGAGGAAAGGAAAGAAAGAGAGGACGGGAGGGGAGGAAGCTGGTTGGAAGCTGCAGGATAAAGACACCACATCACCGTTCATCTCTCTCGCCAAGGATTTTGCTTCGGCACTCTGCTGTCGGCCATCCTGGATATTAGTTTCCTTAGCAACAGGATGAGCTCTCTTCTTGGCGTCTTTTCGGGGCGATTTCGACTTTCTGTGACGTTCCTCTGCTGACATGAATGAGTCAAGGTCGAGAAAGAACTAAATCAACAAGGACCAAACAACGAGAGGGACATTACAGTACTATAATACGTAATAACGGGGGGCTGATCACTTAACTGGTCTTCATGCAAAAATGTCACCCTGATGTTTATTGTTCTATGAAACTAAGTGATCACCTCAAGTCCAAGACGTACAGCTTATTCTGGCTCCCTCCTAACTGTTCTTCCCACCGGAGGTCGAGCATGAACTGCTGCCTAAAGCTCTTTCTCCATGAGGGTCAACTGGCCCCTGCTCAACTGGTGTTCGCTATAGATCCATGACCCAACTTCACATGCAAATATAAGACAGGTGCAGAAAAGAGAAGGATCCTGCCACCCATGTATAACCTTTGGGTGCCATATAAATGGCATGGGCCATGCATAAAATCCCTTATACAGTGTCCACGCACACACACACACACACACACACACACACACACTCACTTGCTTTGTAAGTAATATTTTCCAGAGGCCTAACGATCATCATTAACTTTTTGCCACATCCTAAGGAAAAACTCCGGGAAGAGTTTATGAAAAATGGAATTAAAATTAGATTTATTTTAGTGAAAAAAAAATTTCAAATCATTCAAGATTTCCCCGGAATATGCATTTTCCACGAACCTTTTTTTTGAAAACTACCTCATCTATGTTTGCATTTGGGTAGAGTGCTTCTTTCGATGGCAAATGTGCAAACCAGCCTGGCATTCAGTACCAAGGTTGTAATAAGTTTGCAAATCCGGGTCTTGAAAATCAGGGGTTTTCCTTTGGCTAATGAAACAAGTTATCAGGTGGAGCCTACAGAATGGTCGCCACCTTCATGAAGTATTTGGATTTCTGCCATCAAGAAACCAGTGGCTAAAATATCCCACCACGGAAGCAGCCCTGGCGCTCCCTCCCCTCCTCCTTTGGTCATCAGGGGCATTGCGTGGAGCTCCGCTGCTTTACCTGATGTTAACTTGGCGGCCTTGCCAAGGACACGGGACTTGGGGGGTTTCCCCAGCAAACTCTCGGGGGCCACCGTCTGTTTGCTGGATGGCGAATCTCTCGGGCTGTATGCCTGAACGCTCGTCTTGGAGAGCGCCTCCGTGAAGCCGTTGTCCTCCTTCTCCTCCTCTCTGTCTTTGTTCTTCTTGGATCTGCCTCTGTCTGCGGAGTACTGCCACTTGACAGGCTCAAACTGGAACATGACAATATTGCTCTCCGTGTTGATCAGCATCCTGGCAATCAAAAAAAAAAAAAAGCCGAGATGGCTCACAAAAGCAGTGTGGATGCCACCGAAGCGACCATTGCGGCTACCGTCCCAGCCGAGCCTCGTGCTGTGCCCAGGGATTGACCACACAAAAAGGCAAGGGGCGGGAACAAGTAAAGGGCAGCTGGGATGCCATCAGAAGGGGCCACTAGCCTTGTAGCTGCCTTCTTTATATAAAGCAAATATATATAATACGTGATAAATGTAATATATAAATATTAGAATATTTTAAAGTATATGTAACTTACATAGAGATAGAACTATATATAAAAGTAAACATACATGTGGTGCAGGGGTTCTGATTATTGTGCTTCTCAAGCTAAAATATCTATAAACAGGAGGCCAGCATGATGGCTCAACTGGCTAATCATCCACCTTGCAGCGTCAGCATCCTGTATGGGCACCGGTTCTAATCCCAGCAGCTCCACTTCCCATCTAGCTCCCTGCTTTTGGCCTGGCAGAAGAGTGGGGGATGGCCTAAAGCCTTGGGACCCTGCACCATTTAAGTTGGCCCCTAGCTTTAGATCAGCTCACCTCCAGCCATTACAGTCATTTAGGAAGTGAACCAAAGAATGGAAGCTCTTTCCCTCTGTCTCTTCTTCTCTCTGTAAACCTGCCTATTAAAATAAAAATAAATAAATCGTTTTTTAAAAAAAAATCTTTAAACAAAAATCTGCTCCTACAGTGAGTGCCAAGGATTCCCAAGGTTACTAAGGCAGAAGCCTGGGACTTGTGCAAGTACAGTTGTCTTAAAATTCACTCCCTATTTTTAAAACTTTTTTTAAGATTTATTTTATTTTTATTAGAAAGTCATATACAAAGAGAGGGAGAGACCGAGAGATAGGTCTCCCATCTGCTGCTTCACTCCCCAAGTGGCCACAGTGCCTGGAGCTGCGCCGATCCAAAGCCAGGAGCCAGGATCTTCTTCCAGGTCTCCCACGCGGGTACAGGGTCCCAAGGCTTTGGGCCATCCTCGACTGCTTTCTCAGGCCACAAGCAGGGAGCTGGATGGGAAGTGGGGCTGCTGGGACTAGCAACAGCACCTGTATGGGATCCCAGCACATGCAAGGTAAGGATTTTAGCCACTAGGATGCCGCGCAGGGCCCCACTCCCTATTTTTAAGCACAGCTTGCAAACCCGGTGTTTGTACTGCAGTGATTGGAATGAAGAAAACTCCCTAGCGGACGGACCATCCCTTCTGCGCGGACCCACCCCATGAGGAACTCCTTCATGCTGCACCTGAACTGTGTCTGCACAGTTGGGCAGCAGGACCTCCAAACTCCATCAGACAGGGTGCTTTCCTGTCTCCCTAATCTGAGTTTGCACCTTCCCTCTCCTGCTACTGCTATATACCACTGCTGCCTGTCACCACTGTCCTTCACGGGACAGCCAGGTCCCTTTCCGCTGCGAAGGGGCTACGAGGTTAGGTTCTTGGCTGTGAGCGTGAATTCTCTAGCAAAGGCGGGCCCTGCAGTCCTTGGCTAGAGGCTTGCATGCGTTCTGTCTGCAGCCCAGGACTCCGGGCAAGCGGTTCCGGTACTCGGGGGCTGTGGTTTCGGCGTGCAGGTCAGGTGTCGTGTCCCACAGCCTGGACAGAGGCACAGGAGGACCATGCAGAAGAGCACAGACCCGCCAGTGCCTTTACGTTATTTTGGCTTTGCCTACACAGTCCTGGTGGCCACTGGTGGAATCACTGGCCAAAAGCAGGTAGCATGCCGTCCCTGGCCGAATTCCTCCTCTTCGGAAGCTTGGCAAGCCTGGGGGCCTGCCATCTGTCTCAGGACCGGAGGAACATTTGGGTTTTCCTGGCTATGTCCGGGACCCTGGCTGGCACCATGGGAATAAAATTCTACCACTCTGGAAAATTCATGCCTGCAGGTTTAATTGCAGAAGCCAATTTGCCCATGGTCGCCAAAGTTGGAATTGGTATGTTGGACAGACCCCATCCTAAGCATCATGTCCCTGGGTTCATGATGCGTTATACATCTCCAGTCTTCACTCTTTTCAATGTATTCAGGAAAGAAAATGTGGCGTTCTCACGTATTGTGATGTTTTCCCTTTAAAAGACACTGAACCTGCTGGGAAAAATGAGTCATTACTGTCACAATCATTTAAAAGTGGCAAATCTATAACACAAGGACTTGATAACAGCCCATCGGTTTGACCCTGTGCGTTGGGCTTAGCTTTGTCTGTGTATACAATCTCGGTGTGAAATGCTAGGTTTCGACACTGGGGGGCGCTGGCTCCCCATTCAGTACTCAGAGGACCAGGATGAAGAATCGTGGCATTCAGGATACATGTTCTTGGGTCATCTTAGAGCATAGACCTATTTGCAAATTATGTTAAATGAAATATTACTGAAACTAAAATGCATTGTAATTTTTTTTAGTTCTCTAGAAGAGTGGCGTTTGGGGGCTGGGAATGCTGGACTGGGATTTAGAGGAACCATTCCCTTCAAAAAGAAAAGATTTTTTTCAGACGTTTTTATCCCCACAAAAAAGAGACCATCTCTCTGGATGGTGCGAATAAGAAAGCATTCGAGTGGATTTTTTTTTTACAGTATTATTAGTTCATGGCTGATTTTTTAAAACTTGATCAAGCCTTATTACCAGCCCCACTCCTTTTTCTTTTAGATGGTAAATAGTATGACTGATATTTCATTTAAAGAGGGCAATCAGATTCAAGAAAATTAACTGATGTCTCCAGAGAGACCAAGATAGAACTTACAAGTTAATAATGCTCTTTGGTTATTTCCATATATCATCCCCCGAGCCCATTTGGGTATAACAATCACATAGACCAAATTATTTCCCCAAAAGAAATCACAGGAGATGGAATTGTAAACTTATCCTGATGCTAAAAAAAAAAATCGAAAGTCATGCACAGTTTTTTGATACTATACATTGCTGATGAATTTCATGAGGATCCTTCATACCGTGAGCTCAGTGAGGGCACAGGTTTCTACAAACGTGGCTGTTTAACTCGTCCCCATGAGAGCCCAACGACTGCGGTTCCCCGACCCTCGGCATCAGCAGTGAGCGTCAGAAGCAGCTGAGAGAGCCTCAGGCGACTGAACGCACACCCAGGGAGCGAGTAAGGGCGATGCCTTAGGCAGAACGCCCACCTGCCAGAAGAGCAGTGCTGCATCACAGATGACCTCCGCAAACACTCAGAGGGAGTTCAGGACTCCAGCGGAGCTCTGATTACTACATGTCATGCAAGAGCCAACTGGTTCCCCCACAAGAGCATTCCTTCCTGACAGCCAGCATCAGAGAGAAGCTTAGCCCACTCTCTCCTCTGGCCAGCCGATCCAGGGCAGCAGAAAAAGCAGTCATGCCTAGGGAATCGCTCACGGCTCTGACCGCCACACCGACCACCCACCTGTTGCCCTGAAAAAAGAAGGACAGCACAGGATCGCCTCTGCCATTGGCCTTGATCACCTTCAGACAGTTCCCGTTGAGGAAGTTGTAAATGCGGATCTTGCCGTCTGCGCAGGCGCTGATGACCCGGAGGTAGAGAAGGGCCACGTGGAGCACCTCCCTGGAAGGAACAGAGTGACAGGTGGCACCCCGGGCTTCGCTGTGCTTCGGGGCATTGTGTGCAAGGGGTGGGGGTGGCAGGGGCCAGAACTCGCCATTGTTTCATAGTCCTGGATGTACACCACTGATGCCCAACACATCTCCTCCCAGGTTCTTGATTTTCATTTCCTCAGCGACACATTAGTCATGCAGTAGCATGTTATTTAACTTCCTGGTGCTGTTAATTTCTTTTTTGTTTTTCTTCCTGTTGTTGATTTTGTTTTGTGGCTTTTCATTTAAAGGGATGTATAGTAACTGTGTAATGGAGACTGTCATATCCAGATGTGAGGAAACAATGCAGCATGCCTCTTTACTTCCAGACAAAGATGGACTCCCAATGAAACTGTTTACTATATTTTGACAATAGGATGCTGGACTCTCTGCCATTGTCCATGCCCGCAATGATGGACATATGACTGTGTATGAAGAACTGTACTATAGTAATGATACAGGGGAACTCAGTAAAGGGGGGGAGAAAATTGGGAAGGGGAGAAGGGAAATCCCAGGGCCTAGGGAACTGTATCATAAAATGATAATAATAAAAAGAAGTAAGACTTAAAAATAAATAAATAAAATATCTCTTCCCATTCTATAGATTGACTTTCCCAGCAATTTGATCCCAGAGACACAGGAGAACAGGACAAAAAGACTGACGCCATGCATTATATTAGGACCCAAGAAGGCCCAATTTATAGGAGATACGTTTCCCTCCTGCAGTTGGCTGCCTTAGCTATTTACTTCTACAAACATCATGCTGAGGTCTTATTTAATGTTTCGACTTCTCTTAAAATAGTATAATCATGGGGCTCTTGCTGTAATATAGAACCTTAATACTCCACCTGCAGTATCAGCCATCCCAAATGGATGCTGGTTCAGGTCCCGACTGCTCCCCTCCCATCAAGCTCCCAGCTGCTCGCTTCCCATCCAGCTCCCTGCTTGTGGCCTGGGAAAGCAGGCAAGGACAGCCCAAAGCCTTGGGACCCTGCACCTGCATGGGAGACCCGGAAGAAGCTTCTGGTTCTGTGGTCTGAAGACCAATCAAGCTTCTGCCATTGCTGCCACTTGGGGAGTGAAGCAGCAGATAGGCAACCTATCTCTCTGTCTCTCCTCCTCTTTGTAAATCTGCCTCTCCAATTAAAAAATCAATCTTTAAGAGAGGAATAACAATTATGTAAAAAAAAATAAAAGGAAAAGGGTTATCTTTACCTAAAGCATTTTGACAGTTTCTGCTGTTAGTGGCTTTCATACAGCAAATAACCACCCTTTACAATCTCAAGCAGAATCATAACCAGGGGGTGACATTTATGAATATCCTTGTGTGATGACCCAGTAGGAAGAGGGAAGGGCCCCAAAGAACAGAGTCCGCCAGGAAAATCTCCCTCAGCTTACTCACCTGCATGCCTATTCATGACACTGAAAAACTAAATTTGATGCCATCGGTTTGTTAGGTTCTATATGGAGTCGCCCTCTTTCAAGTCTCATCTCTGTCCCAGAAATAAATTCTGTCTCCTTCTTCACTCTTCCTTCATCAAAGATACTGCAGAGTCAGGTGTCTGCAGGGTCCCATCCTGATGTCAGTCAAAATGCTGAAGGATGACAAAAGCCTCTCCTTCCGTAAGAAAAATGGGCAGAAATGGGCAGAATCCACTTCTCCAGAGCTCTGGGAAAATGAAGTCTTGCAGCCATGCGGGGTCCAAATTTGACAAAACAAAGATTCTCTGACATCAAGCAGCGTGAGCATTGTTAACTTACCCTCTAATCCTTTCTTTCCAATACATAGATTTTCACAAAAGCTTCCCATGAGGCTATGAGGACATTTAGGACCATAACTTGGGAAATGAATATCCTCTGATAAATTCCCCTGGAAAACACACTCACCCTTCGCATCAACCAAGATAACTTTTAGTTTCCAGGAAATGTTGACAATGCACTCGAGGAAGGGAAGCATGGTTGGAATAGCATGAGACTTCAGGAGAGCCAGGATCCCTGTGACCACGGCAGCACCACTGATGGACCACAATGCCCCGGTGACTTCAGAATTCTTCCTCAACTCCACAGCCGCCAGCCCTAACTTTGAATCATGAATGCAAAATGAAGTCCATTTGCTATCCTGGAATCGAACTGAATCCACAGACCACAAGTATAAACTCCTTCTTTTTGTTTTGTTCTGATTTGTTTTTCAGGCTCTTCATCATTTTTAAACCACTTGGACCATCTTAAGCATAGGTGAGCACAAGTTTCCTGACATAAAGACCAATCCCAAGAATGTTAAATTTACTGGAATTGGCACTTTTGGAGACAGTTCATAAGCCTAGTAGGTAAGAGATTAATTTATCATGGGGAGTTTAGATATAAAATGTAAGTAACGTCTCTAAGTCCACATAGAGTATTTTTTTTTCTTTTGAAGATTTTTTAAATTATTTGAAAGGCCACGTGATAATGAGAGAAGAGGGAAAACCCAATATTTTCCATCCACTGACTCACTGTCCAAATGACTGCAGGAACCAGGACTGGGTCCAGTTGAAGCCAGGAGCCAGGAACTCCATTCAGGTCTCCCGCGCAGGTACAGGGACCCAACAGAAAGCTTCTGCTGCTCTCCCAGGCATATTAATCAAGAGCTAGAAGGGACATGGAGGGGCTAGGACTCTAACCGCTGCTCACATGGGATACTGGCATTGCAAGCAGTCTTAATTTGCCGCACCACAATGCCAGCCCCACAACTAGTATTCTTATTTCATAAGAGAATCAGGAGAAAATAGAAGAGAAATGGCTAATCAGAAGAGATGCGGGTAGCAGATAGTTGAAAAGAGAAGCAGCAATGAGTGAGATGTAGAAAGAATATGGGGTCAACAGGGGGCAGAAGGGGCCAACAGGCCAAAGGTGGCCGACTAAGCTGTGGTCATGGGAGGTGGCAGCAATGTCATGTTATAGGACTTGGTAGCACCTAAATTGGATGCAGCAGTGCCACCCTATGGAATTGGCATCTCACCAGCACCTACTTTGGATGCTTGAAGGCCATGAGGCAGCGCTCGTATTTCCCCACCATGCTCCAGGCCATGACCAGGCTGTCGCTGCCTCCCGAGACGATATGCCACTGGTCAAAGAACAGGCACTTCACAGCTCCCTCGTGGCCCATGAGAGTCTGTAAGAAAAGAAGGCACTGTTTTCAGCCCCTCAGACCAACTCCTGCAAGGAGTCAGAGCCGACGCTTCCAGAGGTAAAGGTCAGCGTCTCACTCTACTAATCCAGACTCCCTGAGCCGACTCCACTGGGGGAACCCTCCTCTCTCACTCAGCCTCTTATTCTCTCTCTCTCTCTCTCTCTTACTCACTCTCTCTCTTTCTCATTCTCCTCTCATTTAAGGAAAAACACATCCAACAGAGACCTTGTTCTCAGTAGCTCTGTGGCCAGGCCAGCTCCATTATCGCAGAGTACGAAGGAGGACCAGTTTGTCACTGCCTCTGCTTACGGAAGGATGAAGAGTAAACTCCTCCAATGCAGTTCCTTGCTGGGAAATGGATGGAGGGTACCAGCGACATCACTGCCCTGCAACTGCCGGTCCTTCAGCAAGGTCAAATTTGATGAGAAGTTGGGGACTGGCATTGTGGCACACTAGGAAAAGCCATTGCCTTCAATGCCTGCACCCCAAATGTGCACCAATTCGAATTCTAACTTCTCCACTTCTGACCCAGCTCCCTGCTAATGGCCTGGGAAAACAGCAGAGGACAGCCAAGTACTTGAACCCCTGTACCCACATGGGAGACCTGAAAGGAGCTCCTGGGTCCTACCTCCTGGCTTTGGTCTGGGCTAAACATCTGGGGAGTGAACTATAGAAGATTTCTCTGTCTCTCCACCCCCCCCCCGCCCCTATCCTCAAATCTTACTTTCAACTAAGTCAAATAAATCTTTAAGAACAAAAGATTGGTAGGAAGCTAAGCCAGCCCCTTCTCCCTGTGATACTATGTTCCTGGCACAAATGCTCTCTCAGCACCACCCACTCAAGCCAGTGCATTCAAGTCCAGCAAGAACGCATTCTATGAACAACAGCTGAGATTTAAGCATGTGACGCAAAATTGCTGGAAACTCGATCCTCCTGTGTCAAATACTTTAGGGTGGAATCTTTGGGAGGTGGTTGGGTCAGCAGTGCTCCACCTCCATGAATGACCCATGATGGCGAATTCACAACTCTCCCTCTCACGGAGTGCCCTCAGCCTCCAGGCTCCATCTTACCATCTGATGCTCTCACTGTGTCCCTGTCCCAGCCAGGAGCCCCTCACCAAATCCAAACCAAGTAAACTTCATTTCTTTATATGTTCCCACAGGCCACTCATTTTTTTTAACAGCAACAGAAAATGGGCTAAGACTCCTCCCAGTCACTTTCAAAACAACTTAGAGAATAAGTAGTGGGAGAGAAGTTTGTTCATTTATTCATCTCCTCTCCCCTGCTAAAAAGAGAAACATGCTATGTTCAACTATTCAACACATGCCAAGTCAGGAGAGAATAATATAGAAGAAGAAAGCATACTCCATTGCCATTAAAAGGCTAACTCTGCTAACTCCAAGACAATATTGGGTCACCACATGGGTAGTGAACCCCTGACCCTCCACCGGCTTGGAATGTCCCCCTACTCTGGAGTCTTCCTTGCTGCTCAGGAGCCCCCTTGCCTGTGGCTATCAGCCAACTGATGCAGGACGGTCTAGGAGGCACCAAATGGTCCCCATCATCCCCCTTCCCCTAACTGCCTCCTCCAGCCCTCTGTCCTCTCACCTTTACCAGCTGGGCTGTGGCCATGTGCCACACTTTGATTAGTCCCCGCTCACAACTGCTCACGATGTAGGTGTCATTGATCCTGATGGCCAAGATGGGGTCTTTGTGTTTATATGTCTTCAGACACTTTCCCGTGTCTATGTCCCATTCTGAAGAAGACAGAAAAGGGGGGAAGGGAGAAGAGGCAGGTTGTCAGTGGAGTTATGCTCCCTACTCTAGGAAACCAGACCCACTGAGCCTTCGCCCCATCTAACAACCCCCAGCAGGCCTTTCCCTGGCCCTGGCAACAGAATTCCCCAATCGTGGGCCCCTGGCAAGAATGGACAGAGCAGGAGATCTCAGTTCTGACCTTGGAACTTAGCCTTGGAGTCCAAGCACCAGACTTCCCATGACCAACAAGCCTACGCTTGAAGCCTGAAAAACATTTGCTACCCTATCCTACAGGCCATCATCAAACAAAGATGGAATAATGGCCAGAGCTGACACTTCCTAGCTCTAGCAGTAAGAGGCCAAGTGTTTGAAATATGTTAACTCACCTTCAAAAGACAGGTGCTATCATTATTCCCCACCTTCAGAGAAAACTGAGACTGAGTGAAGTTCCAGAAGCTGCTCCTGGTCACAGCAGAGCTGGGATTTGAACCCTCTCATGGATTCATGGGTTATTCCGGGAGTGGCCTGGTTACCAAAGTGAGCGCTCTTGGTCTCACCATTGGATGTTCTCACCAGCTCATGGCCCCAGCTAAGACCTCCTTGCCAGAGCCCACACAGATGCTGGCACCATGCTGTGGCACTGCCCAGCCTCCAAAACAGAACCACACAAATTTCTTTTCCTTATACATTCCCAGAGGTTGGGCATCTTGTTAGAGCAACAGAAAACGAACTAAAACACCACTCCATCACTTTCAAGACAAGGGATGCAGAGGCTGTGCTCTTAACCATTTATGCCAGACAATCCATAAGTAGGTGTGCTTTCATCACCCGTTATTTAAGAGCCCTTGGTCCATTTATAAAATTACCAGGGCAGGTAGGGGAGGGTTGAAAAATGGATTAATAGTCCTTGAGAAGGTGCCCTGGCTTGTGGAATTTCACACCTCCGGCGTCATCTTTCCCATTTCCACTAGTCCCTGAGTTGGGCTCATAGGGCAGAGTGAGATGCTGGCTGCCAGAGGCTGCGAGAGGAGGATGGAAAGGGAATGGAGAGAGGCTGGTTCACAAGCATTAGGTTCTAATTACATAGAAGAGAGACTTTAAAGTGTTCTATTAAACAGTAGGGAGATTTTAGAGAATGATAATATCTTGTATATTTTTCTGAGAAAGAAAAACTCCAAGAACTCATGTTGTGGCACAGCTGGTTAAGCCACTGATTGCAACTCGTACATCACAAAGTGCAGAGCTGGTTCAAGCCCCAGCTACTCCCTTCTGATGCAGCTCGCTGCTGATGCATGTAGAAGATAGCAGGGATGGCCCAGGTGCTTAGGCAGATTTTTCAGAGAGAAGGAGAGACAAAGAGAAAGATCTTCCACCTGCTGTTCACTCCGCAAATGGTCAAAACATCCAGAGCTCAGTCTATCTGAAGCCAGGAAGCAGGAGCTTGTTTCAGGGTCTCCCATGTGGGTGCAGGGGCCCAACGACTTGCACCATCCTCCTCTGCTTCCCCAGGCCATAAGCAGGGAGATATATCAGGAAGTAGAGCAGTCAAGACTCAAACCAGCCACCCATATGGGATGCCAGAGCTTGAAGACAGCAGCTTAACCTGTTACGCCATGGTGAAGGATTGTCCAGTATGTTGCGTATGATAGTCAGCATGTCCAGAATGGAACCCATGGCCTCCCCACTCCTTGCCCTATCTTGATATTTCCCTGTAGACTCTATTTTCATGAATGGGACTGTCATGAGCCCAGTGGCCTGACATTTTGAAGCAAATCTTTGACCTCCATGGACCTCACTTTTCACCTGCAGATAGTGGTCAAGTTCTGCCTGCTCTCCTTAGTGTCCCTGCCCTCTGAGTCTTCCCCATCTGCTTGCTTGCAGGAATTCTAGAGACATCAGGAGAGTTCTCTAGACCAAATGGGATCTCAACTTGTCCACTATCCCCATGTGGGCCACCATTCCCCTAATCCTCTTCCAAACTCTCACTAGGGCTATCCTCTCTCCTTCTTTTTTTTAAGATTTATTTATTTTTATTGAAAAGTCAAATATACAGAGAGAAGGAGAGACAGAGAGAAAGCTCTTCCATCTGTTAATTCATTCCCCAAGTGGCTGCAACAGCCAGCATTAAGCCAATCTGAAGCCAAGAGCCAGGAGCTTCTTCTGGGTCTTCCATGCAGGTGCAGGGTTCCAAGGCCTTGGGCTGCCCTTGACTGCTTTCCCAGGCCACAGGTAGGGTGCTGGATGGGAAATGGAGCAGCTGGGATACAAACCTGTGCTTATATAGGATCCTGGCATGTGCAAGGCGAAGACTTTATCACTAGGCTACCATGCCGGACCCGGTTATGTTCTCTTCTAAGAAACACATTCGTTCATGTCCATTCCCAACCACAGTGCTTGCCACATCCCATTGGGTAAAGCCCAGCTGAGGACTATGACGCCAAAAGGTCCTTTGTGGTCTGGCCCCACACAAACCTGCACTGCAGTCCAGCCACCTCACACAATGGGAAATTTCCTGAATACGCTTCATGCTTCTACGCTTTGGCCTTTGCTGTTGTCTCTTTGGCCTGTGAAACCATATCCCTCAAGACCACATTTCTATGGCACCCTGCCTGTGGGGCTTTCCCTAAATTACCCTTAGTTCTGTGGTTCCTAAGAACTCTGCATTGGGGCAGGGGTGCACACAGTGGCATGCAGGCTAACCCTCTTCCTAAGATGCTGGCATCCTATATGGGCACTGATCCCCAGTCAAGCTTTGGCCATTGCAGTCATTTGTGGACTGCAATGGAAAAGGGTGGAAAATCTCTCTCTCTCTCTTTCCCTCTCTCTCTCTCTCTCTCTAACTCTTCTTTCAAGTAAAACAAAAAAAAAAAAAAAAAAAAACTCTGCATGGAGTTACACGGGACTGAGTGCCAGACAGCCTTGGGTTCAAATCGCCTGTGCCATTCAACAGCTCTGATTTGGGGTAAGTTACTTTTCTGAGTTCTGGATTTGTCACCTATATCCACCTTGTGGGGTTCTTGGGAGGATGAAATTAACTAGAAAAGTATCTGCCTATCACATGATAGGAGTGGTCCATATATGGGTCAACCGTGTCCCTCATTCGATATTTACATATCTACTCTTACCAGGACATTATGTGCTTAGTGAAAAAAGATGTTTAATTGTATGTCAATAACTTCACCATATTAATTTTTTTCTCTTTAACACCAAGCACAGTATCTAGTATGTGGTATGCACTGATCAATAGTTATTGGAGGTCTAGATGGACATATATGCAAGGATGGGTAAAAGGATTATTGACTATAAAGTAAGTACATCAAGCATTTTGGTAATTCGTGGATTTGGGGAAACTTCTAAGAACAAGTAAGGCGTTGCCTTCTCACCTTTCACCTGGCCATCTTTGGCTCCAGACACGAGCTTGCTCTTAAACAAATCCATGCAAGTGACCGTTCCCTGGTGGCCATTGAAGATACGCAGGCAAGCCCCACTTTTCAGATCCCAGTATCTGCAGGAACCAGGCCAAAAAAGAAAAACATTGTTGAGATTTTAGAAGTGACTCACAGGTGTTTCCACATGGAGGTCCATTGGGTCAGTAAGAAGTGGAAAGGCAGCAGTCTCATGGTTAAACTGAGAGGCAGAGATCTGGATTTGCATCTTGGTTCCGACACCTGTTTGGCATAACTTGGGGTGAGTTCTCTCTGTGTATGCTTCATTTCGTCATGGATGAAATAGGAATGATGCTAATAAGAGCTACCTCATAGAGCAGTTGTCAGCCGAGGGGTGACTTCTGACCCCAGGAGTCTTCTGGAAAATTCTGGAGACATTTTTGGTGATTGCAGGTGAGGAAAGAAGTGCCTAGAGCCTCCCCTTCTCACCTCTCCCTTCTCCCCTCGGCCAAAAGGCTGCTCAACTTCAGCCCACATGGTGGAAACTCTGCCAGCCCCGCAAGTCCTAGAGCTGGGGTGGAGAAAGCCTGCAATACTAAAATAAAAGAAATCTTTAAATATTTTACATCCACCTAAATCCTGGCTATGAGGGATATATGCATGAGTCGGGCTGTTTTGTCAGTAAGAAAATGAGACTGAGATTTCTCAAATGTCACTAACATGGGCTTCCACTTCAGCTAGATTGTGTGTGTTTAAAGGTTTGTGTGTGTGTGTGTGTGTGTGTGTGTGTGTGTGTGTGTGTACACACACATATATATATGAAAGGCAGATAAGATTTACAGAGAGGAGAGACAGAGAGAAAAATCCTGCATTCACTGGTTCACTCCCCAAATGGCTGCAACAGCCAGAGCTGAGCTGATCTGAAGCCAGGAGTCAGGAGCTTCCTCCAGGGCTCCCAAGTGAGCATAGGGTCCCAAGGACTTGGACCTTCCTCCACTGCATTCCCAGGCCACAAGCAGGGAGTTGGACAGCTGGGACACGAACCGGCGCCCATGTAGACTGCCCAAGCTGCAGGCAGAGGATTAGCCTGGACTGTGGTTCTGACAGGACACAGTGCTCTGAGAATGGACTCCAGAACCAGCTGCCTGAGGTCGGATCACAGATCCATCAGATCCTTTGAGCTGAGCAATCTTGGGCAACCACTTACAGAACCGCTCTGTGCCTCAGTCTCTTCATCTATAAATTGGGGTGCAATCACCATGAAGCTTGGTACATGTTGTTTAGTAAATGTTTCCCTGTATATCATGCGCCTGACACACATACACGAAGCTTTCTGTTCTGGTACTCTCCGAAGTGCCCTGCCAGAGTCCTCGTACCCTGTCTCAACCTACATTGCAGCCAGTGCATTCCACAGTGTCCCAGAGGTCAAAGGCAAGGCATGCCTTCGATTTTTGTTTCCAGCAACACAACAGTCCATGTGACCAAGGTAGCTTTCTTAACGTATTTAAGGATAAGCATTTGATAAATACTTTTACAAAAATCGGGCTGGGAGGGATGGGGAGACAGCATTGTGGTACAGTGGGTTAAGCTCCTGCCTGCAACACCAGCATTCCATGTGACATTGACGGCTGGAGTCCTGGCTGCTCCAAGTCCCATCCAGCTCCCTGCTGATGCACCTCGGAAGACAACAGGAGATGGTCCAAATGTCTGGGTCCGTTTGACTCACGTAGGAGATCTGCCATTCCTGACTCCTGGTTTTGATCTGGTCAAACTCTGACCATTTAAGCCATTTGGGTTGGAAAATGAACCTGTAAGTGGAAGATTCTCTCTCTCTCTCTCTCTCTTTCTCTCTCTCTTTCTCTCTCTCTCTCTCTCTCGCTCTCTCATTTCCAAAATTAATAAACCCTTTTTTAAAAAGAGAAAAACAATAGAGAAACTTCTTTGACTTAGTAAAACCTGTGGATCAAAGTGATAACAGCAAGTATTACACTTAGTACAGAAATCATCAATAAATTACTTTCAAGGAGAATGAAATAGGCACGGCCAATGTTACCACTGCTGGTTGCTAGGAAAGCCTTGGCAGAGGTCCAAGGAGAAATGAAATAGTGACACAGGCATTAGAAAAGACAACAGAATGTCATTATTTGCAGTTAGTAAGAAAAACCAAATCAACATCCAAGTTTCTAAAAATCCCAGAGACAAGGTTTGCAAGGACGCTAGACACAGGATCAAATTATAGTAGCCAGTAGCCTTTCTCTATCGCAGTAATAACAAAATGCGAAATATAAAGAAAAAGCAAGATGAAATTCACAATAGCAATAGAATGACAAAGTTTGTAGGCATTCGATAAGAACATGTAAAACTCTCAGGAGTTTTGAAAAAACATCGAGTTCTAAGAAATGAATATATTTCTGTAAAAAAGTCTGTAAATTCTGTGCAGTCCCAACCAAAAATGTAGTTGGGTTTCTTCAGAAGTTGACAGGGACAAGTGTTTGGACCCAGTGGTTAAGACACCGCTAGGGAAACCTGCATGCTGTATCGGAGTGCCTGGGTTTGAGTCCCAGCTCTGCTCCCAGCTTCCTGCCAATGCAGACCCTGTGAAGCAGCAACGATGGTTCAAGTGGTTGGATCCCTGTCACTCATGTGGGAGACTCAAAAGTAAATCATCAGAAATGTAGCTAAAGGGAAAAGAAAAAGTGGGACTAGCCTGGTGGCGTAACAGATTAAACCTCTGCCTAAAAGCACGCTGGCAACCCATCTGGGTGCCAGCTCGTGTTCCGGCTGCTCCACTTCCTGATCCAGCTCCCTGCTTACAACCTGGGAAGACGGTGGCAGATGGTCCTGGTCCTTGGGCCTCTGCACCCACGTGGGAGACCTGGAGGAAGTTCCTGGCTCCCAGCATAGGACCAGCCCAATTCTGGCCATTGCAGTCATCTGGAGAGCAAACCAACAGATGGAGTTCTCTGTCTCTCCCTCTCTCTTCTCTGTAACACTGGCTTTCTGATAAAAATAGATCTTTTTTCTTTTTTTTAAGATGAGCAGGAATTTCATAGAAAAGGGAAGCACAAATGGCCCCAAAACATACAGTGGCAAAAAAAATAAAATAAAATTAGCTAATTAGTGAATGAATTAAAAAGCATACTGTGATGATTGTTACGTGTCACCCTCAGCATGCTTTGGGCTGAGATGACTGCTGACTGGTGAGTGTTAAGGAAAGCACACTGCCCTCCGTAATGTGAACGCACAGCATCCTCTCAGCCGAAGGCCTGAACTAAGCTAAGAGACTGGCATCTGCCGGCAGGGAAATTGTCCAGCAGCAGCCTTCGATCTGCATTTGCACCAGGGACTCGCCTGGGTCCCCCATCTACAAGCCCATGGTGCAAATTTTGAACAGATCAGCCCCCAGAGTCTCACAAGCCAATTCCCTGTAAGAAGTCGCTTTTGATTGATTTATACATCCTACTGGCATTGCTTATGTGGAGAGCCCTAACGTGCATACAAAAAGACAGTTAACCTCACTAGCAGTAAGGGAACCTAAAATCAGAACCCCCAAGATGGTGTTTAGATGTAATGGTTAAGGGCGCTGTGAACACACCTGTGTCCTGGCTCCAGCCTAATACAGACCTGGTTGCATGGTGATAGCTCAACTAGTTTGATTCCTGCTACCTACTTTGGAAACCTGACTTTGATCATATGCAAATCCCAATATTTCACTTTGCAAACTACAAAAAAAAAAAAACATTGTGAGTGTTCTAGAAACAGTATCATTAGGGGGGCGGGGGGCGGGGGTTGGAAATCAACAAATATAAAAAAAAAAAAAAGCAGGCGAGTATGTGAGGACCTGGTCTCCTTGGGCTACTCACCTGATACTGAGGTCGTAACTGCCACTCAGGAGAAAGTTTTCCTCCTCACACAAGAAAAGAGATCGAATGCTCCCAGCATGGCCTCGGAACTCGGTGGGCAACACTTTCACTTGCACAAGATCCAGAAGATGGACCTTCCGATTAGAGGACACAGCAACTAAGTTCCCACCAGAGTAGTGGATGACTCTGTTTTGATCCCACCTGAGTTGCCAGGAGAGAGAAGAGTTAGACACAAAAGAAGAGTTGATATCCTCCCTGCCCTTTAGCACCAGAACTTTCCCCAACAGCACTGCTATATGGTGAATACACAGGGCCTTGCAACCCTGGGAGACCACAGAAGAGAGAGTCTCAGTTGGATTTGATGGGTCCCTACCTCACACCATAACGAACATCCATGTCAGGAGGGCTAAAGATGAAAGACATGAGGCAGACATTTTCTTAGTCTGCTCATGTGTGCTAAATTCCCAAGAGGGAGAAGAGTATATGTGGCATGTCCCAAACTTAATTGTCCCTGGGAACCTTTCATCACAGAAAACCTCAGCAGAGGAGCCAGAGATGTGGTACAGCAGATGAAAGCTGCCGGCTGTAATGCCAACATCCCACACAGAAATGCCTGTATGAGTCCTGACTGTTCTCAGCTAGTGCAACAGGGAAGGCAGAGGAAGACAGTCCAAGTACTTGGGTCCCTTCCACCCATGTGGCAGACCCATAGGGAGTCCCCAACTCCTGGCAGCCACCTGCAGAATGAACCAGATGATAGAAGATCTCTCTTCCCTCACAGTCCCCCACCACTGCTTCTCTCTGCCATTCAAATAAATAAATCATAAAAAAAAAAGAAAAGATCAGAAAAACAATTGGAAAAGCCTATTCATATGTTGCATTTCTTTTCTCTTATAAGATTTTTTACTGCAAAATCAGATATACAGAGAGGAGGAGAGACAGAGAAGAATATCTTCCATCCACTGATTCACTCCCTAGGTGACCGCAACAGCCAGTGCAACACTGATCCAAAGCCAGGAGCCAGGAGTTTCTTCTGAGTCTCCCACATGGATGCGGAGTCCCAAGGCTTTGGGCAGTCCTTGATTGCTTCCCAGGCCACAGGCAGGGAGCTGGATGGGGAGTATGGCTGCCAGGATACAAACCGTACCCATATTGGATCCTAGCACATGCAAGGTGAGGACCTTAGCTGCTAGGCTACCACATCGGGTCCACATTTCTCTTTTTAACCAATATCCAGTATATACAAGAGGTTATATACAAGGAGTTTCAAAATCCCATGGAAATCTTGGGTTAAGAGGGGGAAAAATCTAGGCATAGATTTCTAAAAATCACACCCAAAAAATGTCTCCCAGTTCTATTTCTTCATGAACATTTTGAAGTACCAATGACAGATTTCATGCACACAACTTGATTAGTAGTAAACTCTGGAATTTATAAAAGGTGTCTTCTATCAGAAGGTGGCAGACTCTAATCCCTGTTGACCAAATGGCATCTCACGCACATTTCGGGATGGAGCTTCAAGTGAGGCAAGCACTGCCTATCCAGATGGACAAGGGTTGGGCAAAGTCAAGTCCCTGAGGACTAGCTGCTGACCCCAGAACCTACGTGTCAAAGAGAATGCGGATATTGTAGCTCCCACAAAACACATTCCTCTCCTCCATCTGGATCTGTTGGGTTTCTTGGTTCTGGTACGCAGTCCACAGGTTGTAGTCATTCTAGCAAGTGAATTTCTGGAGTCAGAGTATGGCGGGGACTTGGCTGCAGTCTAAAAAAACCCCCCACAGACCAGCCATTTTAGTGACTGCCGAGAGTTCACAGTTACGGTACAGGCATCTGACAGTGCACAGCACGCTCACGGGAACTCCCGCCACGCGACAAACAACTGTCACACGCTCTGTGTAGTTGAATGTCAGCGTTGCCATGCAACCATGCACCTGCGGCTGTTGTCGGGGCCCACAGCTAGCTGCCTTACGGAGCAAATCACTCTTCCAGAACATGTTCTTGTCATTTCACAACTGAGGTATCTGGAACTCAGGGAAGGAAACTCAATGGTAGGGACTCTCAGTTGGGGTGCTTTTCTTAGCTTCCCAATCTTTCCTTCCCTTTCTCTCTCTCCTTTCTTCTCCCCACCCCCCCCCCCTTTGTTTCTTTCCCTTCTGTCTGCTTCCTTACCTTTCCTCTCACCCTCCCTCCCTTCCTTCGTCCCTCACACACTTTCTGAGCAGCCACGGCATCCAGGCGCAGGTGGCCGAATGGACTCCCAGTTCCGCTCTTCCTTCCAACCATCCCCCACCCTCCAACAGCACTAAACCAGCAGGATTGCAAATGCAGACCAGGTCTGTGCTGAGGCCAAGGAGAACCACGGCATCACATTTGCACCCAAGAGTCTTGGAGACATCTCAAGTCTCCTCTGGGCCTTCCACAGAAAACACTTCTTCACTCACGCGCTTTCTTACTCTGTAACTAAGTGGTGAAGCCCACCTAGGAGCAGTTCTTCCCGGAAAGATCTGCCCATCTTCCTCCTCTCCAGTGTCCAGACAGACTCCCCGTAGGAATTAAATGAGGCTTCCTCGGCTTTCCCTCTGTGAGCCCACGGAGCCATAGCGTGGAGTCATTGGGATGACAAGGACCTGGGTTCAAGTCCCAGCTCAAGCAGCAAACCACGGTGAGACCACAGGAAAGTCTTCTAAGACCATGCACCTCGTGTCCACATCCTTAAACTGGGAGTAATGATATCCACTTGACCTCTAAGCAAAATCGAATAAAGGAGGCATACAAAGTCCTTTGCACCTTGCCAGACATGCTGCGTGGGCTTAGGAGGAAACCTAACGCATTCACGGGCAGAACTCAACCTCACCCCATCGTTGCTTAGTCTTACTGTTTCCCATGCTTTCTTCTCATTCCCACACTGCTTTACCTCTTTTCCTTCTCTTAAATGATACGTCCCCTGCATGACAACCCCATCTGTGGAGTGGTTGTGGCTGCTGTTGAGCCATTACAAGCTATATCCCCCGTGGAAGACTGAAGTTAGCCTTTGTCATACATGAAATAGCGAGAGACTTACAAAGGGCAGGTCTCCCACGCTTCTGTCACTTGACAGAGCCTAAGGCTTCTCAGCAGCCGCTCTGAGCTCTGACAACAGAACACGGACCAGCTCGGAGAGGGAAAAGTGTAAGTCAAAGGAGACCCACACCTGTGTGTTCTTCCGTACCTGCAGAAGTTGTGGGTTTTGCTTGTTTGCTTCAAGCATTTTTAGTTTGAAAAGCAAGTGCTTTCCCTGGAGACATCACGTCCTTCTGTCTCCAGAGTTTGACAGATGACGTCAGATCCACAGTCCCCCCATTGCAAAAATGAGCTGGAGCCGGGTAGCAAACAGCCCCATCAGCTGGGGAATGAGGTCTCGAGTTTATCAAGTTTCTCTCAGCCTCAGCATCCTGTACCACCTACATGGCCGCACCTTCATTTCTGCAGGCTGTCTGACCCCTACTGACATAATGCATTAGAAAGTCTCCTGGGAGGCTGCCAACTCTTGTTAAGTCCCAGGCAGCTCCTGATGGAAAGCTACAGTCACAGCATCCCTCATTAAGCATCATTTTTTTAGCCAATTCACTGGGATACAAAATACAAGGAACTTGAATGGAGAGAAAGGAGTCAGGAATCTTATCATATTAGCAATAACAATCATCCCCAGACAGGCATAGCATGGAACTTAAATTTACTCATTCCTGTCCCCAGATGGGCAGGCGGGTCTTCAGTTCACAGACTCCCACCTTTATCCCAGAACCAGAAAGAATCTGCAGGTGCAAGATGAGGGAAGCTGAATGCCTTCTAAACCCTGGGTCAGCCCCGGTCCTTCCGGCCCATGCCGTTCTCATCCCGGAGAAGCGGCCCAGACCAGCCACAAGATGCACGAGCTGCTAGGGTTGAGGGAGGCATCCCTGCTGGGGCTGACATTGCTCCTGGCCCTGCCCTCCACTAGATGACCCCACTCCCTAGACAAAGAACAGAGTGATGGAATTCGACAATGAAACCAATCCCTTCATTTAACCCATGAGAAAATCAAGGCTCAAAGAAGGACTCGGATCTCCTTTCGGGAACCAGCAGTCCTCTCTGGGATCCTCTGGCCTTCCCCATTCATTCCAGGCTGACTCAGAAAGGCAACCTCCAATGACCACAGAAAACCACCGACTCTCGCAGCCACTTGCGTTGGGCACCCCGGGACACACCTTCGTTCTCAGTTTCAACTTGGGATTTTTGACACGTGTTCGCTTCCCATCTTCTACCATTTTGGGAACTGGGATAGACAGTTTGTTGGCGTAATTAGGATCAACTCCTCGCATGAAGGACCCCTGGAAAGGGAAAAAAAAAAGGACAAAACAATGCTACCTTGGAATACCTGCAGGCCCATGTTCATTGCAGCATAATTCACAATACCTACCGAAGGTATGGAATCGGCCTAAGACTCCGTCAGTGGGTGAATGGGTTAAAAAAAAAAAGTGCTGCGTGCATGCAGTAGAAAACCATCCTTCCTTTGTAGAGGAGGAACTCCCTTCATTTGCAATCTGTGCGTTCCTGGAGGCTATGACGTGAAAAGAAGCAAGGCACTGCAGAATCTAAAAGCATCACTCTTGAGGGAGTAGAGGGTAGAATGTCTGGGGTGGTTGGGGTGAGGAGACAACAGTGGAGTAATGTCGCTCAAAAGATAGGAAATGGAGTTAGATAGGAGGAACAAATTTCAGAAAGCTGTTGTTCAGCATGGTCACTACAGTGAGTGATCATATGTTCTATTCTTGAATAAGGCAGAGGCCCAGTGTACTGCCAGCACAGCACACGGGCTAAACCTCTGCCTGAGCCCTAGTTCCCCATAGGGGGCTGCTCCACTTCCCATCCAGCTCCCTGCTTGTGGCCTGGGAAAGCAGTCAAGGACGGCCCAAAGCCTTGGGTCCCTGCACCTGTGTGGGAGACACGGAAGAGGCTCCTGGCTCCTGGCTTCAGATTGGCGCAGCACTGGCCGTTGCAGTCACTTGGAAAATGAATCAATGGACACAAGATCTTCCTCTCTGTCTCTCTTCCTCTCTGTACATCTGACTTTACAATAAAAATAAGTCTTTAAAAAAAAAGGAAAAATGCTGGAGATGATTACTATGGGGAGGGGATTATATTTTCACCTGAACATAAACCTGATGGCCTTGTAAACTTCTCTGTACCTGATCTGATTAATCTAGAAGCACATGCATGTCTTTCCTATCAGGTGAACAGGAATGCAAATCCTGGGGAGGAGGCAGGGAGGGGACAGAACTCCCCAGGATGCGACAGGTTGGGTAGTCTGCTCATCTGTTCCCAGGGGGTTTTCACACTCGATGCAGTGACAGAGGAAGAGTGTGGACAATGACAGAGGAAGCTACATCCGAAAGGAAAAGGGGACTGCTGAAGCCTAGTGGGCCCGGACATCATACAAGAAGCAGGAAGTCAGCCAAGGGTCTTTCAGGGCGGAGGCAGACGGAAAAAGTTCCCATGCAGGTCAGCCTCCACATGGGCATGAGGCCAGGGTCGGGATGGTCCCCTCCCAGCCAGCAAGTACCTGCAACAGGGTAATCTGGTTCTGAATGAAGGTGTGCGTGACCAAGTCCATCCTGACCTGCTGAGCCATGGCGGCCCAGTGCTGGCTCACAGAGGCACACTTGTTGAGAGTATTTTTATCCAGCATTCCTGAGGAGGGGGGAAATAAAGATGGACCCGGAAGTGCCAGAATTGGGTCAAGATGGGAAGACTCTCTGTGAACCCCAACATACTTAGAATGTGCTTGGAGAGGTGGATGGGCAAGTAACGGATGAAGTCTCGGTATTTGCTGCACCCGGAAGACAGGTCTCCGACCTCCTCCAGGCTCAGGAGCAGGTGGCAGGGGTCGAACCCTGGCTTGGCTGCTTTGGCTCTCCCAGTGAACAGCCTGTTCATCTCAGAGATACACTGGAGCGAACTCTTCCATGGTCCCTCTAGAGTAAAGCCAGACATAGGAGCATATTTGAGTGCTGCCTGCAAGTCAACCCAGAAGCAGCCCTCACCCTGAGCTCACCCCCAGAGGACAACACCTCATGGTGTTTCCTTTCAAAACATAGCCAGGACTAAGAATGCTAGACAAATGGTTAAAGGAGGAATGGAAATTGACATGGCGATCTAGCGGCAGTGCCAGCAGCCTATAGGAGGGCATGTTCAAGTCCCAGCTGCTCTACTTCCCCTCATCCAGCACCTGAGAAAGCAACAGAAGATGACTCAAATGCTTTGGCCCCCTACACCCATGTGGGAGACCCTAAAAATCTCGGGCTCCTGCCTTTGTCCTAATCCAGCTCTGGCCATTGTAGCCATTTGGCCCTCAAATCTGAATCCAAAGCTGGTAGGCTGAACCCTTCTAGCCCAAAGGCTGGAGAAAGGACCATAGCCTTGGGTGGGGGGCAGGGAGGGGCCGGGAAAACTTCAGAAGAAGTTCTTGGGAATTTCCTTTCTCAACTCTCTTTCTGCACAGTGTCTCTTGCAGCACCATGGCAGAGAGGTGAAGACGTGGGTTTTGGGGCCTGCTGGTTGAATTTTAAACCTTCTTTCTGTTGCCTACCCAAGAGTCCAGTACATTGTACATGCTCAATGAGTGTTAGCTTCCCTGCTCACCCACACAAATTTTCCATCTGCAGGTGCCACTGCCCGGAAACTCCCCTGGGATGTCTTCCTCTCACATGTACCCATGCTCACCAGAACCCAAGAATACTGCCAACTCCAAAATGAGCCCAGTACCCCCGTGCACCAATCGTAAGATCAACGAATTCTAAACCAACCAACACGCAGATGCTTCCTCCCTTACGATGGGATTACAGCAGAGAAGTTCATCCCAGTGGCAAGGATGTGAAAGCCAAAACATCTAAGGACCCTCCACGTTCGCTTTCTCGTTCAAGGTCAACTCACGAGCATCAGGTGCCTTGACCTCCGCACCTTCCACCTGGATGTGCTGACTTCCGGAGGCTTTAGACAGAGGGAAGGAAACAGGCCTGGGTGCAGCTGCCCACAGGATACGCGAGGTGGCAGACTTGGAACTGTCTTGCTCAGGTGCGAAAGACACACTAGCAGAGTCTTGACTGGACCCTGAAGAACAAAAACAGGGAGACAGGTGTGTAGGCAGAAAAGGGGGGGGGGAGCAGGATGGTTGTATGTTTTTCCTCACTTCTGTTAAATGCACACAAAAGGGACCAGGGCAATTGTGTCTGTTGGTTTGGAATTTCCACATTCCAATGGAAAAGAAAAATCTCAAAAAAAATCTGTTAGGTTTTACCAACCCATCTACAGTGCAAAATGTATTAGAGTTTTATATACAATGATACCCCTATAAGTTGGTGGAAAAAGAAAAATTAAGATATATTCATTTTGATGAAAAATGGACCTTTCACATTGTTTTTTCATGACGCACATTTTCCATGAATATTTTAAAGACTCCTTGGGTGCATGGATTTCAAAAGTCCATGGGAAATATCTATTATGGAAAAACTATGCATGAAATTCCACAATGTTTTGTGCCAATATAAAATTATCTTTCAATTCCATTTTCATGCTTTTTTCATTTCTTTACTTGAAAACACACACACACACACTATTTACTTGAAAAGTATGGCAGCCGGGCCCAGCGTGGTAGTCTAATGACTAAAGTCCTCGCTTTGCACGTGGCTGGATCCTATATGGGCACCACTTCTAACCCCAGTGGCCCCGCTTCCCATCTAGCTCCCTGCTTGTGGCCTGGGAAAGCAGTGGAGGACGGCCCAAAGCCTTGGGATCCTGCACCCGAGTGGGAGACCTGGAAGAGCTCCTGGATTCAGAGAAATCTTCCTTCTACTGGTTCACTCCCCAAGTGGTCACAACAACTAAGCTGGACCAATACAAAGCAGGAGTCAGGAGCGTCCTCCAGGTAGCCCACGTGGGGGCAGGAGCCCAAGGATTTGACCGATCTTCTACTGCTTTTCCAGATTATAAGCAGGGAGCTGGATGTGAAGCGGAGCAGCCAAAACTTGACCCAGTGCCCATGTGGGATGTCAGCACCACAGGAAAAGGTTTAACTTGCTACACCACTGCCTCATGCCCAAGAAATAAAACCTTAATAAAAACAAAAAGAAACACAGGACCTCAGGGCCCATCTCGGACCTGCAGAGTCAGAGGTTGGAAAGCTCAACAGTCGGGGCTGTGACCCACAAACAGAGGCTCTGATGCAACTCCTGCCTGGGGCTAATTGGGTCCTGAGCCATCGCAACCTAGGACCTAGTCGGCTTCCAGCTTTATCTTTTTTTTTTTTCTTTTTTCCTTGTTTTCTTTTTTTTTAAATTTATTTTTATTAATTGCATTGCATTATGTGACACAAGTGTTATGGGCACTGGGATTCCCCCACCCCTCCCCGAACCCTCTCCCCATGGTAGATTTCTCCATGTTGCTGTGTTACCACAGTTCAAATTCAGTTGAGGTTCTTTCATTGGAAGTATTTACCAAGCATAAAGTCCAGCATCTTATTATCCTAGTGGGTTCAACGATTTCTTGGTGAGACCATCTCTGGCCTGAAGGTAAAGCCAGCAAATTATCATCCTAATCAATTAAAAGCCCAAACATAACATCAACAGCCATTTACAACCTTATGGCATTCATTGACATGGTATTGATTAATAGCATAGGAAAATGCGGTTTCTTATTCCAGCTTTATCTTTAAGGAACATGGTGGAATGGATCTTTTTGCAGCCTCTTGGCCTGGTTTCCACGCAGGACAGCTGAGCAGTGAAACAACTGAATTGACTCCTCCCCGAGGGCAGCCACACTCCTGCTATGGGACTAACACCCCAGCATGGCACAGACACAGCTGGGGACGGGCCAGCTCTGGGCAGAAGGGGTACAGAAAATACTTTTCAGCTCCATAGTTCAAATTTCTGCGCTTCCTTGTCTGTATCTCCTACAGAATTTCTAGAAAGAAGTCACAGTTTGCAATTTCTCCTTCGACAAGCAGGGCTGGGGTGTGAGTTCACCGAACCCCGGGCTGTGCTCTGGATAACCCCTTAGCACCCCCGCTTGTCTCCCCACCTCCATCGTGGTCCCTCGGATGGCTTACCTGACACCCTGTTCCACTCTCTCACAAACAGGACTTGGATCACGTCAGCCGCGGTAAGCAGTAATGGGTAGTCACACACCTGCAGCAGCAAGAGCAGGAAATTGGCCTTGGTGCGGTTCGTGCTGCTTCCAAACCAGTACAAGATTTCCTTCATCTTGTGCTCCACGCTCCTATCCAGCATCTGGTTCAGGGACCACCTCACCACCTTGGCCTCCTTGCGGCTGCCGCGGGAGACCCGCGCCCGGTGGTAGATGAAGTCCTTGCCCTGCATGCCCTGGAGGAGCGTCTGGAAGTAGTGCAGCAGGTGCAAGTTGTTTAACTGTTGCAGCATGCTCACCAGAAACCTCCTCTGCGACATTTCACTGATCCTCTGGAACCACTCCTTCGTGGAGAAGATCTTCCAGGCCAGGACGCACGTCTCACACTTCTGGCACACCGGGACCGACTCGTTGCTCTTCTCACAGCGAAAATAGGGGGCATTCTTGAACCTGGATTCCAGATTTTCATAATCCTGAGCCCAGCAGCTCATTTTACCCTTTTGGCCATCAGCAGCCCCACCAAAGACAGGGACAGGGACGACGGGTAAATACCCCTAACTGAGCCTTCCCTTGTATAAACATCTCTCAGAGAAAACAGTAAGCCGCTGGCTGGTGGGAAAGTTTAATCTCTAGGAGGAAACTGCCGGTGGAAGTCTAGCTTTTTGTCCTGACCTCCTAGGAAACAAGGCTTTACCGTAAATCTCCTAAACCTAGCCCTGCCCAGGTGGGAGGCAGTTGCTGTATATTTTGAAAGAGCCGCTCATCACATTTCTAGAACGGGACTGCTAGAAGTGGAATCCTAAGCATCTCCAGTTGTTGTTGTTGTAATTAATGACTTCGTTCTTTTGTTTGTTTTAAGATGTCTTTATCTTTATTGCAAAGTCAGATATATAGAGAGAGGAGGAGACACAGAGAGGAAGATCTTCCATCCCGTGATTCATTCTCCAAGTGACTGCAACAGCCAGAGCTGTACCAATCCAAAGCCAGGAGCCTGGAGTCTCTTCCGGGTCTCCCACATGGGTGCAGGGTCCCAAGGCTTTGGGCCGTCCTCCACTGCTTTCCCAGGCCACAAGCAGGGAGCTGGATGGGATGTGGGGCTGCCAAGCAACCATATGTTCAAGGCGAGGACTTCAGCCACTAGGTTACTGGGCTGGGCCCAATTATAATGACTTTCAGATGCTTAAGAATACACATTAGATGCAACCTGTTCTGTTTCAAAGTGGCTATCCAAATGATCCTGCATATGCTTGCATTAATCTCTTTAAGTAACCTTCATAGTAAACACGTAATGGTTTCATGTAAATATATGTAATTGCTTCAGAATGCTAATCAGAAATCATTGCAGGAAACTACTCCCTGTGAAGAAGAAACATCTCGCTCTGCTGAGAATACCGTGGGGCCAGACACAGGGTTTAGCAGGAGACGCCTGGGATCTGGAGCCCAACCCAGCTCTATTTCAGAGTTGTGGGATTAAATGAGATACCACATGCAAAGCGCTATGTATACAGCTCTCAACATGTGCAAACTACGGCCCTAGCATGGTCATCTTTAAAAGTTTGTCTGAAAAAGCAAATAAAGAAATGGGAGAAACGGAGACCTCTTCCATTTGTTCATTCACGCCCGAAGTGGCTGCAACATTCAGGTGTGGTCCAGGACAGATCCAGGAGCCAGGAACTCCACGCTAGCCTTCCACGTGGTTGACATTAACCCATGCGCTTAAGGCATCTTCCCCGGGCTTTCCAGGCACATTGCACAAAGCTGGCTCCAAAGCCAAGTGCTCCACACCTCATTCCAGCCTCCTGTTGATGAGCATCTGGTGTGGTGGAGGGGGGCGGCAGGGAGCAGCAGAGGATGGCTCAAGCAGTTGGGTTCCTACCACCTATGTGGGAGGTCTGCATTGAACTCCAGGCTTCTGGCTCTGGCCCTGGTCTAGCCTCAGCCAGCTATTATAAATGCTTTAGGATTTGAGGAGTGAACCAACAAAACATTCTTTTCTCTCTCTCTCTCTTTCCAAATAAATGACATCATTCTATAAATCAATCAATCAACCTCTTATGATCAAAAGACACAGCTCACTGTCTTCTGGATTATTCTAGCTTAGTATGTAGCACAGCTGCTTGCATATTGGAATGCCACATGTGCTAAGTCTACTTGCTTAGAGCAGTCCTTCCTGAACTAGACTGAGCCAGCTGCTACGATCGGGATGTATTTTCCAACAAGGTGTGTTGAAAATATAATCCACAGGGCAACTGTCTGGGAGGCGCAGCCTAACACAAAGTGTTCAGCTCAAGAGGTCTCTTCTTCAAGCATCAAACAACACCGATTTTTAAGGCTCCCCCAACACCCCACTTCGCAAGCGCTCCCCTGCCCTTTTTCTATTAAAAGTTGCAATGAAAAAGCAAATACAGGGCCCAGCGCGGTGGCGCAGTGGTTAAGGTCCTCGCCTTGCACGCCCAGGATCCCATATGGGCGCCGGTTCTAATCCTGGCAGCCCCGCTTCCCTTCCAGCTCCCTGCCTGTGGCCCGGGAAAGCAGTCGAGGACAGCCCAAAGCTTTGGGAATCTGCACCCGCGTGGGAGACCTGGAAGAGGCTCCTGGCTTCGGATCGGCATAGTATCGACCGTTGTGCTCACTTGGGGAGTGAATCATCGGACGGAAGATCTTCCTCTCTGTCTCTCCTCCTTGCTGTATATCTGCCTTTCCAATGAAAAAATAATAAAAATAAATCTTTAAAAAAAGAAAAAGCAAATACAAACTCCTCAGGCTCAGACTTTTCCAGCCTCTGGAACTATAAAACAGGTTTACCGTCTGCCTCATTTACTCCATCTGTGGTATTCTCTTATGGCAATATTAAATGGACTAAGATAAGAGCCGATGTTGGCAGCACATTATTTCATCACGAATCCCAGGAGAAGGTGGGGATTTGAGGATACGCTTTCTGGAAGAGAATGGTTTCTGCTCTTAGATTTGCAAACACAGGGACCAAAATAAAGTAGATGGTGGCTAAAGGCACAAATAGTTCACTCCTCTTGTTGTGAAACTGAGCAATCTGGCACGGAAGTGAGCTCTTGATGAGCTCAAGTTTGAGTGTACATTGTTCTGTTGTGGTTGTTTGTAAGTCAGTCTGCACAATGGAAGATAAGGGTGGGAAAATACACAGAAACTTAGGGAAATTACTGGAAAATGTGTAATAGGTCTTTGTTACCTATTTTTTTTTCCTTCTTTACTTCATTTTTATTTGTTTTAGGCCATTTGTAGCTTACAGACCCAAAGAAACATGACAGGCTCATCGCATGACATAAAGCCAAAACCAGCCAATTTTTCCTTGTATCTTGAGCTTTCATACAAAGAAGAAAGGTGTTGAACCTGGACGCTACCAAACAAAAGTACTTAACAGGGAATGGAGTTCAAGGTTGGAAAGGAGACACCTAGGCTGCTCTGTGTACTTGGACTCAAGCACACCGGCCTAACTGGATCACATCTCAGGACACGAATGGGTTTCGCCAAGGTGACGGCAAATTGGGCCAAAGTTGTTAAAGAAGAAAAGAATCAGGTAGATTTTGGAAATAACAAGCTAGTAAGCTTGGTATCAACCCACAAGGAGAGGTCTACCAGTTATCCTTTGGTAAGCATTTACAAACCAAAGCAGGAAGCGCAAACACCCCCACAGTCATTCCCTAAAGCAAGGCAAAGTTGATCTCATCTTTCTCACTCAAGAGCGTTGTTAGACACATAGGTCAAAGAAATTCAGACCCAATACACATGTTCATTTCTGTCTTGGAAAAAGCTCTTTCTTATGCCCAGGGAGCATGCTGGGTTATTCATGTGTGGCTGGTGGGTAGCCAAACCCAGAGAGAAATAAGAGAACTGTATGATTCTGGGCTTAGTCCTAGCCTAACCAATATCAACATGGTCAAGACCCAACAGGATGAGGTTATGGATTCCATGGGGGTGAAGCCCGGGCCAGGAAGGAGATCTGAGCCACTGGATAGAGAATCGTGAATCTACCTCAGCATGCAGCAATGATGCGATAAAATCAAACCAGAACAAAATCTAAAATAACATGCAAGTCTTATGGTAGAAATATAGGAGAAAATCTCTGGAAAGGAATTAAGCAGCGCTAGTCAGGTACTCTTGAGAAAGGACCATCAGACCAGCAGAGAAGAGATGCGCTTTCCCACAGGTCATAATGACCCAGAAGTTACATGCGCACTTTTGAGGACTCCTCCTGGGGCTTCAGGCTATGTCCTTGGAAACTCACTTAAAGACAGCTCGTCATTTGCTTAGGGTTCTTATTTTTAAAAGATTTATTTATTGCAAAGCCAGATATATATACAGAGGAGGAGAAACAGAGAGGAAGATCTTCCTTCCGATGATTCACTCCCCAGGTGACAGCAATGGCCAGAGCTGCACCGATTGGAAACCAGGAGCCTGGAGAGTCCCAAGGCTTTGGGCCGTCCTCGACTGCTTTCCCAGGCCACAAGTAGGGAGTTGGATGGGGAGCGGGGCTGCTGGGATTAGAACTGGCAACCATATGGGATCCTAGCACATTCAAGGCGAGGACTTCTGCCGCTAGGCCATGGTGCCAGGCCCCTGCTTAAGGTTTCCATTAGTCATAGTGAGCCTCTCTGTCAAGAGGGAATGAAAAACTCGGGAGCAAGAGGAGGGAAACCACAAAGGGGATGGGAAGCTCAGTACAGAAGCGACAGTAGCTCCCACAAAGGGGACAGGGACATGAGAGCTGTCCTCAGACACTCGAATCACTGCCCCTTGAATGAGATGAAACAAGTCCATGTGGTCCAGGCAACTTCAAGAGAGAAAGGTGTGGTCCGTCCCTGGAGGTCACAGGAAGCTAGGAGGTCATTTCTTGTCCTTCTTGCTGGCCCCAAATAGAAGGGTGAGGTGGTGCGCTGTCAGCCAGTGCACGGCTGTGTGGCCACGTCAGACTGGGGCACACAAGGACATTTGCAAGAGGATGATTTAAGATGCTCTATTTCCCTGCTACGTTCATCATCACACACACACACACACACACACACACACACACACACACACACACACCAGACATGCTCTAACCAGAAGGGCACACTGTATGTGGTGGTTAAAAGTGCAGTGTCCCATCCACCAGGATTGGAAGGCCAGCTCTCTCAATTGCCGACGGACCAGTATGAACTTGAGTGTTGTTCACTTTCCTGGACCTCCACAGACCACAGTTTTTGGGCATCTACAAGAGGGAACTCAGAAGCACCCACCCCATGAGTCTGCTGTGAGGACTGAGTTAATCAAGGAAGCACTCAACACATTCAAGTCAGCATCAGCTACAATTACTCTGCGATCCTTTTTTTTTTAAGGGTTATTTATTATTTTTATTTGGAAAGCACATTTGTAGATATACAAAGGGAGACAAAGAGTAACCTCCCACCTGCTGGTTCAATTCCCCAAATGAATGCCATGGCCAAAGCTGGACCAGTCCACACGGGTGCAAGGACCCAAGATTTTGGAACATTCCAGCCCATTAGTAGGGAGCTGGATTGGAACTGGAGCAATCGGGACTCGAACCAGTGGCCACATGAGATGCCTGCTCCACCGTCCGAGGATTAGCTTACTATGCCACGGTGCCCGCCCCTTGATTACTCTGCAATCTATTTAATTTTCTTTAAATTCGCAGTGAACTATTCTGTTCACCTGAACAGACAGAAGCATATTGCCAGAAGATGGCAGGGGAGACCTTGGCATCTAAGACTGACCCTAAAGACAGAGATAACTGACGCCAACGTGAGCAGCCCAAGAACCTTCCATGGTGAGAGCCTGGAGCTCTCCGAGGCCAGCTGCACAGGCAGGCTGCCGTCTCTGGCCCTGCCGTCGTGGTCAGCGAAAGGCGTGCAGCTCCTGGCCTCTAAGGGGCAGCTTCCGCAGAGGCCGGGGCTGCCTTCTCTGGTTCCTCTCCCAGATCCACAATGCGGATGGTGTTCTCTTTCTTGGAAAGCCAGAAGGCGGCGTAGACCGGCTCGGAGAACTTGCACTCAAACTTGTGGATCCGAGTCATGGCATCGGACTCCACGCCGTAGAAGGCCAGGGTCCCCCCGGGGAAGTCCACGTAGACGCCGAGCCTCCGGAAGGGGCCGGCTTTGAGGGGCGTTTCGGTGTCACTGTGCCAGGCTGTGAACTCCTTCCCGTTCCAGTGGAGGCTCCAGGAGAAGTTGTTTCCAGAAATGCAACCGTTACGCTCCTCGCCTTTCCTGTCGATGCCTTTGCACGTCAGGCCCACGTAGCTGCCTGCCCCGGAAATCTCTACCTCGAAATAGTACCTGTGCAGGTACATACTCTGCTGGGACAGCACCTGCCGCCAGTGCAGGAACCTGCTGGGGTGGTCCGGGTAGGGATGCTCCCAGGGCGCTGTGTTGGCCACCTTGCGGTTGTCGTCTTGCAGCCGAAGATACCTGTGGGCTGTGTCCGGGTCAAAAGTGATGTCCAAGGCATCTGGGGAGACACAAAAGGCAAGGAGAGAGGTTGGGCAGCCGACAGGTGCTTCGTACAGAGAGCTCAAACAAGACCTCTCCCTGTCTCTGCTTCCCCCACCCCCTCCACAACTCCCAGCCAGGCCACGCTTCCCCCTAAATGAGCAGAAAGAGCACCAGTCACCCGCACTTCCTTCCCTTCCGAAGCTCAAATTGCGTGGCCTGCGCCATCTTCTCTGCTGAGCTTAATCAAGAAACGAATACGTTAGGCCTGGTGTGATGGCCTAGCGGCCAAAGTCCTCGCCTTGGACACACCCCGGGATCCCATATGGGCGCCGGTTCTAATCCCGGTAGCTCCACTTCCCATCCAGCTCCCTGCTTGTGGCCTGGGAAAGCACTGGAGGACAGACCAAAGCCTTGGGACCCTGCACCTGCATGGGAGACCTGGCAGAAGCTCCTGGCCCCTGGCTTCGGATCAGCTCAGCTCTGACACAGTAACTTGGGGAGTGAAGCAGTGGGTGGGGGCTCTCTACCTCTCCTTCTCTCTGTATATCTGACTTTCCAATAGAAAATATATCTTAAAAAAAAAAATGAGTGACTGACAGCCCAGATGCGATCTTCCCCCTACTGGGAGATGCCACTCACTAATGCTGAAACCCAAACTAAGTCCACAGATGAGGCAATAGCATTGTAGCCATGTGAGTTTTGGAGCTGTGCTCGATGCAACACAATACTTGTGGGAAACATGCCTAGAGAAGCTGATTGAACCATAGACAGGAATCCCTCATCCTGGTTTTTGGTGGTTTTTTTTTTGTTTTTTTTTTGTTTTTTTTTTTTGCCGTGCTTCTCTAAGTTTTTAAGCCATTTCAGAAGGCAAAGGTAAATTTCTTTTAAGCGTATTGTGTATGGGGGAGAGAAGAGTGGCTGGGAGAACCTGGCTGCTAGACAAGAAACGGTGGCTCTGGTTTGCACGCAGCGTCTGTGATGGTGACCCCCGGGGGTACTTACAAAGGAGGAACTGCTCCCTGGTGCTGGGCTCAGGTTTGGAGGCCCGATGCTTGCGCTGAACGACGGCAGACACCTGAGTTCTGATGTCGTACTCCTCTGGAAAGATCAGAGTATGATGAATGTACACCTGCCCTGGGGGAGGCGGGGTCAGGGGATACCCCCTGCAGCCACCTTTCCTTGGGGTTTCCTGGGGGGCAAAAAGGGGCCAGAGCCTAGGGCTGTCTCACAGAAGTTACCCCTGTGCCACCCAAGGGGCACCACAGGCTGGTGAGGATCCCAGACTGGACTTGGATATCACGTAAAAGCACGAGGAATCGACCAGTCACGGACAGGCCAGTCAGTGGTGCCTAATCATTGGTTTACGCTAGAAAGTCAATCAGTCATCCAGATGAGAGCTGCTTAGCAGCTTGACCTTGAAAGGAAGGCTTTGAAAACAAGACCTGCCTCCTGATTTCCCCCCCTCGCCCCGGCAATCCCCACCAACCACTCCTACACGCACAGCTGCTCCCACCACTGCCCACAGCCCAGATATCGCCCCCACCTTCCGCAGCGAACTCCTGGAGCTTCTCCTTGTAGTTCTCCAGCAGCTGGATTAAGTGCACGGTGGAGTCGGTGAGGACCTTGCGGATGCCCGAGAGTTTATCCTTCAGTGCTATGTAAACGCTGGGGAAGGTGCTGTCTTCTGAGCTCTTGAACTTGCCGTACTCCTGTGGAAAAGCAAGCAGCACGACGGGCTTAGGTTCCTTCTGATTTGCTCATTGTAAGGCTTGCAGCATCTGTGAAATGAGCTGAGAGAGTGTAATGCACAAACATGCGAAAACTCCCCGGGGAAGGGTTCTAACCACAGGGAAAGCACACATGTGTATGTATTATATAACCCTCCAGTGACCTCTGTCCTATTCTCAGAGTGGGGTTAGCAGCATCCTGGCTGATGAATATCAAAAAGAAACTGGAGGGATCGGTGTCGCGGCACAAAAACGTAAGCTGCTGCCTGCAAAACCTGCATCCCACAAGATTCCAGCCCTTCCAGTTCTGATCCGGCTCCCTTGCTAATGAGCCTGGGAAAACAGCAAAAGATGGTTAGGCCCCTGCACCCCTGTGGGGGACCCAGAAGAAGCTCCTGGCTCTTGGCTTTAGTCTGGTCCACCCCTGGCCATTTTGGCCATTTGGGGAGTAAACCAACAGATGGAAGATCTCTCTGTTTCTCCCTATCTCTCTGTAATTCTGCCTTTCAATTTTCTTAAGTTATCTATGGGTGTCTTTGGATGCTGACGTATAGCTGTTTTTTCTCCTTCATATTGTGTAGTTTCCAAAATTTTTCACAGTGAGCATTTATGCTTATTAAAACTAGAAGGAAATTATCAAAACTGCAAAAATGATTGATGTACAAAATGCAAGAGCCGGAAGGAGCCTGGCCAATTATTCACTCCAATCCATCAATCCGATAAGGGGGACATGTGAGATGTACAGAAGTTCAGCGACTTGGGAAAAACAACACAGCCACCACAGCGGTTCAGTGAAGGAGCCAGAATGCTGGAATCTTCCACAGCCTCCAGCTCCTCCCCAACCTGGTACCCCGTCCTTTAGCCCTGGCTCCAGTGGCAAACCCTGCCATGTGTCACAAGGCATTGCAACAGAAAATGTCACCCCTCTGAGGGACCCTCTCCATTGCCCTAGCCCACACAAAGCCCATCTCCACCCTGCCAGGCCCTCACCCAACTGCTAGCAAGGCTCCTAAGACCCTCAACCAGCACCCAAACTCCTCTGCAGCTAGAGGCCTGAGTCTCCTATCGCCACACACCCAGTAACCTATGCTCCGAGCAGGTGTCTCTGTTCCTCATGTAAAAGCTCTCTGCTTTTGCACACACTTTTTCTATACCTGGAACATACTGCACCTTCAACATGACATCCCCAAGCTTCCCTGTCCTCCCTCCCTCCCGGCCGCATGTCCCTGTGACCTGCGTCTCTGGGTTCCTGGGCACCCCACTCAAAAGCCGTCCCATTCTCAGCTCCACCTGCAGCCCAGGACAGCCCCGCCCACCTTACCTCCAGAAACAGAACGTTGCTGCCAATGGTCGCCAGCCTCTCCAGCTCCTGTCTGAGCTTCTCCATCTCCACGCTCCTGGACTCTAGGTGCGTCTTAATGCCATTGGCTTGGTTCAGAGCCGCTTGCTCCTTCTCCTCCAAGAAGACCATCACGTCGGTCTGGGCCTTCCGCACAGCCGCCAGGAGCTCGCCAAACTGCTCCTCGGCCGCCACCTTTACCTCCGACACTGATACCTGGTAGGAAGCCAAGAGCCGGTGAGCCAGGTACCCAACTTGATGGAAATGCTGCCAGCAGAAGGCTGGGAGGCACACAGAGGAAGGGGACTGCTTTTTCTAATTGTCAGTGGAAGTTTCTAGATGCCCAGCGAGTCTGGGTTCCAGCTGCCTTGGCAGGACCAGACCCAAATGGTTGCAAGGACCTAGGTATGATCCACATCCCCCAGCCCCACATCTGAGTCCCCAGGGTATTAAGTTGATGATACTGCAACTGGGGGGGGGGGGACATCAACCAAACCATAGTGTTGAGAAAGTCATCAAGTTGGCATGGGTCTTGGAGACAGAGACTTCCCTGTGGAGCCCTGGGGGCTTTACAAGAGACAAGCCTGAATCTTGTCAAGCGATGTTCTTTGCCACCACCAGGGGGCGAACCAACAGACCCATCCAGTCAGACTGGGGTTCTTCAACCTGGTAACCCAGACTTTTTTCTCTGCAAGCCAGAGCTGTTGCAGGCATCTGTGGGAGTGGCCAGCAGGTGTAAAATCTCTCCCTAACTTTGCCTTTCAAATAAATAAAACTTTTTTAAAAGATTTATGAATAATTGAGAAGAGGTTTGCTCTCTTTTTAAATTTTTTTATTTGAAAGGCAGATTTACGGAGAGGAGAGATAGAGAGAGCAAGAGAGAAGGAGAGAGAAAGAGAAAAGTCTTCCATCTGCTGGTTCACTCCCCAAATTGTTACAACAACCGGGAGAGTTAAGCCCATCTGAAGTCAGGAACGGGAGCTTCTTCCAGGTCTCCCACATGGGTGCCCAAGCCCTGGAGCCATCCTCCACTGCTTTTCCAGGCCATTACCAGCGAGCAGGATTGGAAGTAGAAGAGCCAGGACTCAAACCAGCACTGCAAGCAGAGGATTAGCATGTTGAACCACCACACCAGTCTGCTCAATTAGCTTTCTTGGCACGATATTCTTTTTTTTTTTTGAGATTTAATTTATTATTGTTTATTGGAAAGGCAGATATATAGAAAGAAGGAAAGACAGAGAAATATCCCCCATCCACTGATGGCCACAGCGGCCGGAGCAAAGCCAGGAGCTTCTTCCAGGTCTCCTGCATAGTTACAGGGTTCCCAGGCTTTGGGCCGTCGTCCACTTCTTTCCCAGGCCACAAGCAGGGAGCTGGATGGGAAGTGGAGCAGCCGGGATTAGAACTGGCGCCCATACGGGATCCCAGCAGATGCAAGACAAAGATTTAGTCACTAGCCTTTCACACCTGGCCCTTAACATGATATTCTTATGCTTTATTAGACCAAACACTGAATCCCCCGCCGCAAACTGAAAGAACATCTAAGATTGCAGTGTCTCCACCAGGCCCAGAGAGGCCACAAAATGCTTAAGGGATGCAGGCCACCACAGCACTATTGCCATTGCCCCCTGACCAAGCATTCCTACGCAGAGTAGAACATGACACTCCAACTTCGACAGGATGCACAATCAATGTGAGGATCCTTGGGACTTGCACAATGACACCGTTGCTCTTGGGACTCTGTCCCATGGTGGACGTCCCAGCTGAGTGGCCTCCAGCAGGGTCAGATGTAGTGTCAATGCAAGTTGCAGGTGCTGCGTGTGTGTGTGTGTGTGTGTGTGTGTGTGTGTGTGTGTGTGTGTGTGTGCAGCGCCCTCTGATGGTACCCAGCTGCATCTCATCGCACTGATTTACACTTACCTGGTTAGCTAGAACCCCCTAGGTTCAAGCCCCCATCAATCAGCCTGTTAGACTTCATAGGAAGGTCTTGGAATAAGTTCCAATGTTCTTAACTTCCTTTCCTCGTCTGCTCCATGGTGCTCAACAGCTACCCACTTCAGTTTCCCCCACTGATCCGACTCACCGCCAGCCCAACCCAGAGCTCTCTCAGCCGTCCCTCCAGGTGCTATTCCCTGTCTCTTGTCCATCCTCCCCGTCCTCCTCCCCAAAAGCCCATCCCTGAACATCGAGGTTCCCAAAGAACCTCCCCAAACCTCGGGCAGGTGGAGCCTGTGTCCCTTCCTCTCTGCCCTGGCAAAAGGAAAGGGGAGTCAAGGAGGGGGGAAAAAAAAGACCCAAGCAAAAGGGGAACTCACTGAGGGGACCTCTGGTTAGGAGCGCCACCTACAGCCATGCTGGACTAAATACCCAGCCTGCAGTTGAGCAGATGACCAGATGCAAAAGGCACAGACTTCCCCTTCCTTCCTGAACTAAGCATTCCTACACATCACCTCCTTGCCATCGTAAAAGCCGTACCTTCTGAGAGAGCAAACAAGTGCATTTAAACATGCATGTCAGGTTTTATGCCCATATTACAAAGAAGTCATTGCCAGGCAATTCTGTGTTTGCTAAGGTGATGAGTCTCCAGCGGGTTTAGGTCATTATATATTTCTTTTCTGTAAAGAAGTAGAGGTGGAGGAAGCGAGCTCAGAAGACAGGACAGTTTTAACTATAACATCTGGGGGCAGGTACTGTGGATGTTCTACCAGGGCTCCTGTGAAGATGACTCGTTCTAGCCTCCAGGCTTACTCACGCCTCCTTCCCTTCAAGCTCTGTAAATCAGTCACACTGGCCAGCAGCTGCTTCCCACCCTGTCCATTCCTGCTTGCTCACCCCCCAGAACACAGGAGCCAAAACAAGCCTGGGAACGCAAGGGCATCATGGGAAACGACAGCAGGTCCGCTTGGTCTCTAGAGCTACGCGGAGGTTCTGTATGGGAATATGAGACCGGGAGTCCAGATGAAAGCTTAGGATTCAAATCCCTTCTGTCTACACTGAGGCTGTCCTGAAGAGGCATGGAGAGAGGGAGGCCTCAGAGGATGTCTGCAGACTAACTTCTGCTCGGATCTCTCATTCCTAACCCTGCCCATTTGGAATGTGCAAAGGGCTTCATTCCCACGCGGATTACGACATGTAAATAGTACTGAGAGGAGGGGCAGTAAACATCAAAGCAACCAGCAGTTAATGGCTCGAAGCTATGAGGATGTGCACAGCCCTGTCAATGTCAATGTCTCATTCCTTCCATCTGAAGGGTCCTAGCGAAGCTTATCATCACACACGTGTCCCTTGCTCATGGCAGTCGCCATAAACACCACCTCCTCTAGTCACTGTGTCACTGAGTAGGAACCTAAGGGTGAAAATTAAAGAGCTGCAGAGAACAAGATATTCTATGCAGTTCTCTGGGTCATCTACATTTGGGAAATCAACAGTCTCCAAAAGTTTATAAGGCTATTATGGGATTGTTCTTTTTCATCCTTTAGCAAGATACTGTGGGTAAGGAAGAGATTTTACCCTTTCACAGTTGGTTTGTTTTAAATGCCCAGGAGAGAGAAAATGAGAAGAAATGGATATAAGTAATAGAGATGGACAGATGAATGGATGGATGGACAGGTGTGTGGGTGGAGGGAGGGAGCAAGGGATGGATGGATGGATGGATGGATGGATGGATGGATGGATGGACAGGTGTGTGGGCGGAGGGAGGGAGGGAGCAAGGGATGGATGAATGGATGGACAGGTGTGTGGGTGGAGAGATGGATGGATGGACGGATGGACAGGTGTGTGGGTGGAGAGACGGAGAGAGGGACGGATGGACAAATGGACAGATAGGTGATAGGTGGATGAGTGGATGGATGGATGGATGGATGGATAAGTGGGAGTATTGATGGACAGAATGGATGGGTGGGTACATGGATGGACAGGTGAGTGGATGAATGGAACCATTCTTTCTCACTATACGAGGGTGACACTGCTGACTCACTGTCATGGGCGAGGTATTTTGTCCACCCATCTGGACACTGGTCACTCTCGGCCACTAACGAGAAGCATTTGTAGAACTGCTTGAGTCGACTTAGGGCCTATTTAGAAAGTGGCCGTAAGCCCAAAAGACTAAAGCTAAGCAGCCCGACCTTATCGAGCACCGTCCACTAACCCAGCAGCCGTCAACTCCTTTTTTGTTAGAACTTCAGACTGGTGAAACCCACGATGCAAACACCTTCCTATGATGGAAGAATCCAAGGTTATGTATAATTCCTGGAACTCTAATAACTAAAGGCTTCCTAAACAGTCATTAAACACACCCCCACCACACACACACATACACACACAATCCTCCAATACGCATTACAGATGCTCCGAAACCACATGTATATCCTGGCCAAGAATGCATACACAATGTAAAAATAAGAATATTGTTATTCTAGGACTAGTCTGGGTTCTACTCTATATTATTAAAAATCACTTGCCACATACACAATTTGAATTAATGTTGTACCTAATTCTTTTATTAAGGTGAGACTACTCCATGGTTTAACCACCTGTACTTGCAGTTCAGATTGGCTGAACAAAACCAAGAAACCTATAGATTTAGACAACTGGGCCCACAGCCCCATGTCTTATGAATTCAAATAGCCGACAGATGGCCCAGAACAGCCTTACCAAAACGGATTTGTGGTTGGCTTGGAGCCTGGCAATGGCGTTGTCATTCAACTTGAGTTTCTGCTCCAGGTCTAACACGGTGCGGCGAAGTTCAGCCTAAGAACAGAAAGGAGAGGGTTAAGGAGGAAGTCCAGTGCTCCCAAAAGGTCCCCAAGGACAAGGACACTGCCCAACCCTGAGGTCTGACCTCTGGCGGCAATTTTAGAAGCCACCTAGGCACACCAAGGGTGGACTGTGAGCCAGCTCCCTTCCGGGGGCTGAGCTCAGCATGACTCAGCTAACAGGCAGTGAGCAGCACACAGCTGGCAGTGGCCATCATTGTAGTGTAGTATTTATAAGGAGCACTTCATTTTGTCTTTATCATACGCATATTAAGTTAAAAATAAGAAGGTTTATTATTTCCACATTATGGACAGTCAGAGAGAACCACTTGTTACAAGACCACAAAACTCATGTTGATCCTGGGTCACCCGGCTAACAATGAGAGGGGGGCCCGCTGGGATGCCCCAGGTGTGAACTGAGCTCAGGTGTGACCACTCTCTGCAGTGGCTCATGAAGCTCAGGGAAACACTTGCCAGGAGGTCACGAACCCCATTTATCAGGGAGGACAGAACTCAAGAGTAGCCAGCGGTGGGGGCGGTGGGGCGGGGCTGGGGGGCACAGATGCACAGGGCAAGGTGTGGGAAAGGGGGTGGCAGGAATCTCCACTCTGCCCGGCGGGAACTGTGTGCAGACCCCCTTGGTGCAGTTACAACTGGTTACACCATTGTGCAATGGTGAGCAGTTGAACCTTCCACTCCGCTCCCCTCCCTGGAACTTGGCAGTGAAGCTGAGAGGCCCAAGCCTGTCACCCCAGGATTGGTTGCCCCTGGACCAACCTCCATCCCAACACCCGTCAGGAGCCCCACGTCACTGGCCTCCAAAAGACTTCATTACTTCCCAGATGCCCAGGCTTTTGAGAGCAGCATGCCAACACGTGGGGCCAGAGACCAAACAAGGATTTCTTAGCATTTCACAACTTTCTTTCCCTCAACATGACAGATGGGAATGAACAATGTGCCTCTTGGGGATGGCATGATGGCTCAACTGTTTAATCCTCTACGTTGCAGCACCCATATGGTGTCGGCTGATGTTCTGGCTGCTCCACTTCCCAGCCAGCTCTCTGCAATAGCCTGGGGAAGCAGCGGAGGATGTCCTAAAACTTTGAGATCCTGCACCCATGTGGGAGGCTCAGAAAAAGCTCAGGGCTCCTGGCTTCAAATAGGCTCAGTGCCGGTCATTGAGACCATTTGGGGAGTGAACCAGCAGATGGAAGATCTTTTTCTCTGTAAGTCTGCCTTTCCAATAAAAATAAAGAAAGAAAAAAAAAAGGATGTGCTTTTTTCCCAGGGTTGTAAGTTGCTGGGTAGAATGAGATAATGCAGGTTGCCAGGAACTGTGTAGTTTTGAGTGCATTGTCAGCGGCCCATGAATGGCAGAGCTTTGTCATCGGCCTTGTCATTCACCTTATTGTTTTTGCTGCATGACTTCTACCCACCCCGTGCCTGGAGTCCGCCAACCTTCTCGGCCAAGGCAAGTGCCTGCCTGAGAACACTGGGTCCCCGACCCTGACCTTGCTTCACTCCTCCCTCCTGGGACTCACGGAAATAAGCCTCACCCTCGCAAGCTCCAAATAGCCCTGTCACTCTTGCACAAGGTTAGCCAAATAGCAATAACCCTGAACAGCTTTCCCTGCTCTATCTAAATCGCTTATGTCTCCTTTAACAGCTCTGAGTCATCCCTCCCTGAGAGCTCAGATGGCATGCATTCTCTGGGCCACTCTCTTCTGAAGCCCTGGGGGAATGCCAGGCGCCCAGGGAGGAGGAGGAGAAACAGCTGGGGACAAGGGATGCACTTCAGCCAGGACACCTTGCAAGAAGCAGGCAGCCCCAGCAGGGTCCCTGCTTTGGAGCTGGAGGAATCCCAAGAGATTCTTACTGTTGAGACCCCAGATCAGATGCCTGAGGGCAGGGAATGAGGAGGAAGAGAGCTTTGGCAGGCCTGGGCAGGGGAGCAATGCTAGAATCTTTTGCCACTATCCCACTTACTTAGAAGAGGTGAAAACGTGAACTGTTTGTTTAAAGATGGCCTAGAGCACCACAGAACACTTCTTGCCATTTCATGCGATCCCAAGACAGTAAGGACATCAGGACGTGATCATAGGTTAGAGAAAGTGGTTGGAAGATGGTCAGGAGGCACTCAGAGAGTACCCAGCCAGGGGACCTCTCCCTGCTGTCTGCACATGGCCCTAAACGGGAAAAAAAAAAAAAAAAAAAGGCCTCCGGAGCACTGGATGGGAACCTCTGGGAGTGAGTCAGCCCGAAGCAGGCACTCCCGGTGACCACGCGAGGTGGAGCCATCCTGGGAGACTCGACCGTCTGGTTATCCCAGCTCTACAAAATGAGGGGTTGCCTCTGCCTCTGGCTTCAGGGTTTTCCACGAGGTCAGGCAGATGCGTGTCATGGGCCAGGGTGGTGCCCGAGAGTGTGGCCAGCCCTGCAGGGAGGAGGGGCTCGGGGAGTCCCATCCACGGCAGCCAGGCGATGAGATGTGTGCCCAGGACACAGAGTCAAGCTCTCAAGACCTGCCATGTGCTTCTGTAGCATCTTGTCCAATCATCTAACTGTTCCTGCAGCAAGCATGGGCTAGCTGGAGGGAACATAGAGCATCCGGGGCCTGGGACACTCTTCTAAGCGTCCTGCTGGCAGGTGCAGCCTCATCCAGGGACTAGACCACGCTTCCCGGCTGACCTCTTCCAAGGAGCCCTTTTGACTTCTAAGGCTGGAGAGCATTGTGCTTCCAGAGGTAGCTGGCCCCCTGACCAGAGAACGGAAAAGAGCCAGAGAGCGGGGAACTATGGGGTATCGGCCTGGGGCACTGTCTCTGCAGACCGGGCCACTTCTCTGCCCAGACACTGCCCTGAACACCCTCTCCCAATTGTCCTTGATGTACAATGCGTGGCTCTCTGCCACGAGTTCAAGGAGTTCGGCATTCGGGGTGCTGCACACCCCACACACAGCTCCTCCCACTCGGAATGACAATCGCCCGCCTCTGCAGCATGCCTGGTGCCCTCCATTTGCAACTGTGCCAGACGAGGTCATTTCTGAAGGGAGCCAGTGAAGTGTCCACAGTGTGCGCCCCCGCTGAGAGGCAGGAACCGTGAGGAGACAGGGTGGGCGGGAGCCGCTCTTTTCCTAGCAAGACCGATTTGTTCTTCCTCATCTTCACGGATCACTTTCCTGGCTAAGAACTGCAAAATGCAGGGGCCACCTGGAGTGCCAGTTCGAGTCCTAGCTGCTCCACTTCCAATCCAGCTCCCTGCTAATTAGTGCCTGGAAAAGCAGCAGCAGAAGGTTCCAGGGCTTGGATCTTGTTACCCACGTGGGAGTCCTGGAAGCAGTTCCTGGCTCCTGGCTTCAGACCTACCCAGCTCCAAACCTCTCTCTCCTTTCTCTAACACTCTGCCTTCCAAATAAGTAAAGATAAATCTTTAAAAAGATACAGATGTGATACTCAAAAAAGAATAACAATCCATTTGTTTTACCATTTCCAGTAGTAGAGGCAACAAGAGCCCCCATTTGACATATTTTCAAGGATTGGACAATACAACGCATGAAAAGCATCTACGTGCACCTTGTTCAGTTACAGAATTTTGTCTTCCAATCTGTTTATTGACCCACTCAGTCTCCTGATGGGACATTCTTGACACCGGAAACACTGAAGCCAGCGGCTTGTTGGGTCAGAAACAATGACTCACTGGTCTCTGGGATACAGAGATTTCCAGAACAACTCCCATGGGCATTGGCTGCCAGGACCTGTGTCTACGGGACAGGACTGCAGGAGTGGCACCCAGAAAGAGGAAACGGCTTTTCCCGGAAACAGCATCTTTCTTTTGTTATCTGGGGAACATCTGTCAAGCCCGTGCCTCGAGCGGGCCAGGGTGTATGTGTGTGTAGGGCCAACAGGAAGCTGTCCTGAATGTGCTGGAGTACAAGGGATGTGGGACAAGGGTCAGGAGACAAAAGTACTGCCTGGAAAGCAGAGGTGGGCACAGCCAGTCCTGGAGAGTCGCTGCGTCAATTCCTAAGAACCTCTGCAACCTGCTCAGCTGTAGGGCAGAACAAGGCTGAGAACCACAGCCTCCACGTCTCTCCCCACACCCGGGGAATTTTCTTTCTCTTAGGTTAAACAGTGCTTGGCAAGACGCCCAGAAGGAAAATCTCACACTCTCCTGCCCTCCCTGAGCCTGGTGCGAAAGCTCTTGAATTTCACTCCACTTATCTCCAGAGAGGCACCTTTTATTGGCTTTTGGTATGGGGTCAAGGAGACAAGGGAACTTAGGGAAAATCTTTTCTCTCTCCTCTGGAATCTCTGCTAAAGCGTGTATTTTATTGAAAAAAAAAAAAAAAACCAGGTAGGTGCATTTCCTTAAAACAGTAGGAAATTGGCAAGCAGAGGGGCTTGGTCTACGGACGGCGGGACACAGATGGGATTGGATGACCCACTTTGAACAGCTTCCAAACTGGCGTAACACATGCCTGCTTTGAACAAACAGCCACGCACTGACGCCAGCTAGGGCACAGAAGCGACAGGAACCACAACCCGGCTGGACTCTCACCGGAGACTCCCATCTCTTCCACCGCCACCCCCTGCCCTTCCCAGTGGGCAGATCCCAAACACTTGCCTCCTTGTCCCTGCGGGCTATGTCCAGGGTCACAGTGTTGTGGTCCCTGTGCTGGTCCTGGCAGCACTCCTGGCAGATGCACTGCCCATCGGAGCAGCAGAAGGCGACCAGCGGACTGCGGTGGGTGGGGCAGGCGTGCAGGTCCTGGTGGTCCCTGACCGGCTCCGTCAGCTGGTGGCTGTGCAGTCGGCTGTTCTCCTGATGCGGCCGCAGGTGCTCTTCGCAGTAATTCACCATGCAGGTCAGACAGGACTTCACTGCCCTCACCCTGCGGTCCCCCAAGCAGAAGTCACACAGGATCTCCTGCTCATCTTCACCAGCAGGAGCCCCTGGCTCCTCCGCCTGCACCCCAGACTCCTCCGCCTGCACCCCTGGCTCCTCCGCCTGCACCCCTGGCTCCTCTGCCTGCACCCCTGGCTCCTCCGCCTGCACCCCTGGCTCCTCTGCCTGCACCTCAGGCTCCTCCACCTGCGCCCCGGGTCCCTCCGCTGGCGCCCCAGACCCTTCCAGGCAGGCCACATCCTCCTCCTCTTCTTCCTCTTCTGCAGGGCTGGCCGATCCAGAGTCTGGACTGATGGGGGCCAGTGGGTGAGCGGCGGCCCCAGGTAGGGGCCCTGGAACCATGAGATCCAACTCCGCCATCTGGGAGGTTCTGGAGCCAGGAGGAGCTGCCGGCGCCTTCCACTACCCCTTAGCCTCCAGGGAGAATCAGTGCAGCTCCGGTTCCGCGAGCCACGCCTAGAAGATTGCAGCTGCGCTGAGTTTTTAACTGTTTCCTTCCTCCCTAAGGAAGCCCAGTTACTCACGACTGGCAGTGCGCAGGACTGTGCCTGCAGCCAGCTGCGGTGACCAGGCGGCTGGGCTGGGCTGGGCTGGGGAAGGCGGCTCTTCAGCAAGCTCAGGCCCCTCCTCCCACCCCACACCTCCCACTCCACCCCACACCACACCTCCCACCCCACCCCACCCCACACCTCCCACCCCACCCCACCCCACACCTCCCACCCCACCCCACCCCACACCTCCCACCCCACACCACACCACACCTCCCACCCCACACCACACCACACCTCCCAGGCTGAAACTTCTGCCTGCAGCGCCCATGCGTGTTTGCGGCTTCTGCCACAAAAGGACTGGGGATTCCTGAGCTGTGCTGTCAGTCTGCGCGGTTCGTTCAGGCTGGAATGGTTCGCTTTGCTCTCCGGAAGGGACCCAAGACGTCAGGATTATCGCTATTGGAGTTCTTGTCTTGGAGAAGCGGCTGTGCAGCATGGTGGAAACAGACGCCGACCGTTCCCCACCTGCGTTCCAGGCGGTAGCTTTCTCTGTGGGTGCTCAGCATGGGTCAGGGGAAGACCTTGGCCTCTATTCCCTTGCTTTCACCACTGTCAGACAGCAGGTCCTCTTGGGCCTGCCAGAAGCCCACTCCTGGGGTTCATGGGCCTCGCACCCACCTCACCTGCGGGCCCAAGGACCTGGGCCAGGCAACCTGGGCCCCAACGACACCTGACCCCTGGGGCTCGCGAACCCAGCATCCAACACACAAGTCCACTGTACTGGTGGGAGACCCAGATGGAGTGCTGGGTTTTGGCCTGCGTGGTAGGAATGGTGGTCCTGTGGGAAAAAGTGGATAGAAAGCATTTTGGTGTAACCCTACTGTTGAAAGCAATGGCGTTGGGGTGCAAGGTGTGCTGGTAAGCTTATGTGAGAATGTGGTATGCTATAAGTGAGCTGTTGTGTAGCCAGTGGAGGTGAACAGGAAGTGCAGGAAAACAGAAAAGCAGTTCTTGGTAACAGAAAAAAATAGTGGGATATCAGGATTAGAAAAAAAATAACCAGAACATAAAAAGAAGCAGAGGTCTGTTCTTGCAACCAGGAATACTTCCCCCAAGGGGGTGCACCGTTCCTGGAAGTACTGCAATACCAGGTCGATGCGCGGAGTGGACGGAGCAAGCCCCTATTCCAACTCCAGAACCCAAAAATCCATTTAATATATTGTCCTCGGATAGAGGACGTATCAGATATTAAACTGATAAGAACAGATACTACACTTGATCTTAGCCAAAAGGCCGAGAAGCGATGCTGAAGTAGGCACAACGCGCCCTCCACCCCAACACACCCTGCCCTTCACACTCACGCCCACCCCACGCGCGACCCCGGCCCCGCCGCCCTCACCCGCCCGCGCATGCGCCTGCCCGCGCCACCTCCCTCTGCTCCCCCGCTCCTGCTCGGCCGTCGCCGCCAAAGCTCGTCTCCACTCGCGCGTGGCTCGGACGCGCTGCTGGGCGGAGCCCGAGCCCCGACATCTGCATGCCCCGCCCACCGCTGTCGTCGCCCCGCCCCACCGGCCGTCGCGGGAGGCTGGAGCGGCGCAGGCGGGGCTCGCTGGGGGCGGGGCCCGAGCCCTGACATCTGCATGCCCCGCCCGCCCCGCCGTCGCCCCGCCCCACCGGCCCTCGCTGCAAGGCTGGGGCGGCGCAGGCGGGGCTCGCTGGGGGCGGGACCTGAGCCCCGACATCTGCATGCCCCGCCCACCGCCGCCGTCGCCCCGCCCCACCGGCCCTCAAGGCAAGGCTGCAATGGCGCAGGCTGGGCTCGCTGAGGGCAGGGATCGGCAGGCGGCCGGGTTCCCACGGGGTCGGGGTCGGGGGTCTCGGCTGCCCACGCCGGGAGGGATGCCTTCCCGACGACTGCGAGGGGGTGTCCTGAGCTGTCTGCGGCTCGGGAGCGGGCAGAGGGATGTGGAGTACAGAGGGAAAGGCTAGCCTGCCTCCCACGTGCCCGCCCAGTGGACCAGTTTGGATATACCATCATCGCTGCTGTGTGACAGTTCTGAAATGCTGTCGGTCTGGCCGATCTGTGGATGAGAAATCCCTTCCAATGTCCATTGGCTGGCATACTCAACCTTAGAGCCTCTATTTTGTCCAGATATTTGCCATTATCATCTGCCTGGGGTAATTGTCCATAGGTTCTGTTCTTTATTCTCTGTTTGGGACCAGATATCCTCTGCAGGAACAATGGTCTGTGTTCACCGTGGCCTGTGATCCAGCACTCCACCGTTCACACCGAGGAAGACTAATTCGCACAGGTGGGACATGTGCCCAAAGTCCTGTGCCCTGCCACATCCCAACCCTGGGGCTCATGGACTTGGCACCGACCATGCAGGTGAGTTTGAGAACCTAGGCCAAGTGACCAGAGAGCCGTGCCAGACTCTCCATCTCTGGGGTTCACAGAACCAGCGCCCACGACACAGATGGGCCCAAGGATCCAGGCCAGGCAACCAAACCAAGGACCTGCCAGAAGCCCACTCCTGGGGCTCATGGGCCTGGCACCCACCTCACCTGTGGGCCCAGGAACCTGAGCCAGGCAACCTGTGCCCCAAGGACATCTGACCCCTGGGGCTCGCGAAGCTAGCACCCACCACACAGGCAGAGTGAAAGTGCTAGGCCAGATGACCCCAGGGCTGCCCCCAGGGATCAGAAATCTGGCATCCACCGTGTAGATGGGGCCAAATGCCCGGGCCAGGCAACCTGGGCCCAGGGGAGCCCCCGCAGCTGAAGTTAATGGACACAGCACCCACTGTGCAGACAGGCTCAAGGACCTGGGCCAGATCGCACAGGCCTTGTTGGACTGCCCACCTCCAGGGCTCATGGAGCCAGCACCCACCTTGCAAGTGGACAGAAGTATCCTGGCCAACCAGCCAGGGCCATCGGACCCCTCCATCCCCGGTGCTCATGGACACAGCATTCACAGCTCCTAGACTGGCATGGCTCATCTCACCATGGCATCTACCAGTGGTGCTTCAGCCTGCTTTGGTCCAGCTGCTCCCAGTTCGAGCTTATGTTGGTTGGTGCTATCACCCAGCTGTGCACAGTAAGATCCCCATCCCGGCTCCAGTGTGAACTGGCCCGTTCTGCGGCCCGACCCAGCCCCTCCTGTACCCCATTCTGGCTCTCAGTCTGCCAACGGATGTCATGAACTGGCCCAGCCTGGCCTGTGCACACCCAGACCTGACCCACGGCAACCTGGACTGGTTTGGACTGCTCCTTATCTTGGTCCTAGTGCTTACGTGCAGGGACTGCAGCCTGGCATGGGTGTATGACATGTGTGTGTGTGTGTGTGTGTGTGTGTGTGTGTGCGCGCGTGCGCGCGCAAATGTAAAAGAGATATATATATTTTTTTAACTAGAAAGGCAGATTCACAGAGAATGAGAGAAGGATGTTCCATCTGCTGTTTCACTCCCCAAGTGGCCTCAACGGTTAAAGCTGAGTGAATCTGAGGCCAGGAGCCAGGAGCTTCCATGTAGTCCCACCCAGATCCTGCTTCCCACAGCTTTGGCCTAACAACCACATTGTGACTTTTTGACATCCTGCCCCTACCCTCCTGAAAACTAACCAGAAATACACAACTTCTGGAGCCACCTGACCTTCAACTGTGAACCTTCAGAGCCACGAGCCTAGGAAGCCTCTTTCCTTCATGAACAACTTACTTAAGACATTCAGCTGCAGTAACAACAGGTTAACAGAGTCGTGTATAACCAGTACAAGCCTGAGTGGGCATGGTGATGGATGACTAAGACGCCATGGGGCACCTGCATCCCTGCTCAGCTCTGAGGCCTCACTGCTGTTTCGCTGCTGCTCATACAGACCCTGGAAGCACACAGGGATGACTCAGGCAATTGGAATCCTGCCACCTATGTGAGAAATCTGGACAGAGTTCCTGGCCTGGCCCAGCCTGAACAATGGTGCTGAGTGAATCAGTGGGTGGGAGGAATTCTGTCTCTCTGTGTCTCTCCCTCCGACTGTCTCTCTGTCTCTCAATTTTTTATTTTTGATTCTTTTTTCAGTTGGCCTTTATAGAAAATACACCTTACCAGATCCACTCCTGACTTAGAAATATAAGGCCATCACACTAAGAATCTAGATAAGGGGCCAGCATTGTAGCATGGCAGGTAAAGCTACCACCTATGCCATTGGCATCTCATATGGGTGCCAGTTCATGTCTCAGCTGCTCCACTTCCTATCCAGCTCCCTGCTCGTGACCTGGGAAAGCAGCAGAGTGTTTGGGCTCCTATCACCCACATGGGAGACCCGGAAGAAGTTCCCAGTTCCTGGCTTTGACCTCCGGCTCAATGCTGAGGGCTGTGGCCATCCAGAGAGTAAACCAGCAGATGGAAAAAAACCTCAGTCTCTCCCTCTTCTTATTTCTCTGTAACTCTGACTTTCAAAAATAAATAAATAAATTTTTAAAGAATGCAGAGTAATTTAGGGAAAGAACTTTCTTAATCCAAAAACTCTACCCTGCAATTCCTGGCTGAAGAAGTTCCCCCAAAGCTTTTCTCCTACACCAAAAACCATCAATTTGTCTTTTCAAAATCTCCCTAGACTTTTTCTTTTTCTTTTATTTGTGCCTCTGCTAAGTCAGGCAGAGCTGTGACTCATAAATAAAGATATTTCCCCCATTAGACTGCAGAAGTTAAATTTTAAAAATCAGCTTATCAGCCTGAAGAAAGTAACAATAATGCCATCAACCAGCCTTAACATTGAATTTGATGAATTTAAAGGATTCTGCTTTGTGGAAACCATAACTTTTCTCCTTTTTGGGAACTAAAAGCCTCACCTTTTATGACACAGTGGGGATAATTC